TGGTTTGGTCCCTATCTGGGGCTTTTCTCCTTGCCTGCCCCTCTCAAACAGGCTCACCCTCACTCACCCACACAGCCCCTCGCCTGTCATTTCCATGAGTGTGAGCCTCTTGGGCTCTGTGGGGATCCCAGTGACCCAGAGGATCATGCTGGGACTGACACGATGCTTTTCTTTGCAAGCATGGCCACGTCTTATAGGGCAGAGATGCTGTGCATCCTTTGCTCCTCCAGCAGATACTGCTTCTTCCACTGCCCAGCACTTTCAGGGGGGCTTTGGCCATGTGTTTGACCTCTCCATGGTATCTAATTCTAATTTAATGCAAGCAGGAACAATAATAACAAGACTTAACAAGCTCTTTGGTCCCTGCTACCACCACGTGTAGCGTGGCTGATCTCGCCTCAAGTGATAAGACAGAAGCACAGCGCGGTGCACCTTTGATTTCCAGCTTCTGAACTGGTACAAACCATGCAGCCACATCCCTCCTCTGCCCTGAGCCTTTTGTTTTGCACACCAACCCCACGCAGATGCAGGTATTGTTTCGGTCCCGTCCCAGTAGGGGAACCAGGGGCGATACACAAGCAATGCCGGGCCCCCCCCCACCCACACCACAGCACTTCGCCGTGGGAGGTGGCCGCTGGGTGCAAAAACCTCCCGTGGGCTTTGCTCATCCCCCATCACGTTTCGTTTTGGCTTTGATGGTCCCAGACCTGTGCACTCTGAGCTGGGCAGAGCAGCACCCTGGGGCGTGCTGGGTGCTCCTGCCTTCCTTCCGTGGTGACTCACGGCTGTTTGGCAGCACGGGGCTGCAGCTCACCCTGTGCCAGCCTCTATTTTTAGGAAGCTGGGAGAGGGAGGTGCAGCCGTCACAGCAAGAAGTTTCTAGTGCCTTTTGTGGTTTCACGGCTGCACTGAGGCTTCGCATCAGCACTTTGGAGGCACGTTCTCTTAGTGGCTCTGTGTGGCACACACCACCCAGATGTAGTGTGTGCTGCCCAGATGTGCTGCCTAGACGTGCAGCCCAGATGTGGTGAAAGCCACGTGCCCTTCGGGGCCCTCTGTCCTGCAATGAGGCTGGTTCCTCTGCTTTTCCTGGCCCTCCACCCACCCCGATCCCCTTGGGATCACCAGCTTGGGATGCACCCATGGCTGCAGCAGGGATGGATGGTGGGAAGGGGCTTAGGAGATGGCACCCCCGGAGCTGGTTAGCTCAGAGGGACAGCAGCACCCAGTGCTGTCCCCTGCAGCTTTTCCCCTCGGCTCTTGGTTGCTCAACAGGATGGCAGAGAAGGGAGAGGTGTCCCCTTGCATGTCTGGGCATTCTCCCTTGGCCTTGCAGTGACCTGTGGCAGCTCACCTTATGCCTGCTGGAGCCTGGAGTGTTTGCTGACCCCCACAGGTATCTCTCTGTGGGCGTGTGACACCATGAGCAACCAGGCTGAAGCCTACAATTGCCACAATAATGCTATGATGGCCACCTCCTGCCCTTCTCTTCCATAGACCATCCCAAGCCAGACCTTTCCTACTAACCCTGAGGTTGCTCTGCGCTCCAGAGCTTTCTGTAAGTCATACAAAGTTTAAAAAAAATGAACGGAAATTGTAATGTAACCTTTCCTTCTCCGGATGCTGGTGATATTTTCTGTGATGTTCTGGCTCTGTCTGTCTCCTCTCTGTCCTGTGACGGGTGTAATCCTGAACTCATGAGATCTCGGGAGACACAAGAAAAGAAAATCTAAAGAAATGATAAAATAAATGATGGAAAAGCTCAAATTTCTGCTCGTGGTCAAAAGGACTAAATCAGGTTTTTCTCATAGGTTTCCTTCCGCATCCCTCCTACAGCACTGCAGGCAAACTCCTTTTGTGACTCAGAATAAAATCCTCTTTCTGAGTGTATTGCTCTTAGTGGTGCACAGCACCTGGCTTTTGTCAAGTGTAACGAGCTGGTGAGGTGAGCAGCATGTTATAAAGAGCTAGTTACATGAAACCGCAGCAAGCACCCAAAAAATTCACTCTCTTTTTATCAGCTTTCACCTTGCTGTGTTCAGAACTGCTCCCGGCCTGTGGCAGATCACCAGGGCTTGCAACCGGATATTTTCTCAGTAAACAAAACCGAGTGCAGTGGAGACAATTTGCTGATCAGCGGAAAGACTGCAAGTAGGTCAATAGGAATGCAAGCGATGGATCACATTTTCCCATCGTCTCACTCGGGTTGGAAGAACTTCAGTCGTTTGGGTGCGCGAGCAGATGGGTATGGTCATGTTCATGAGGGCTGCGGGTGAAAGAAAACCCTGTTGGCTTCCCAGTGGTGGGATTGTCTCCAGGTGCAGGTGAACTTCATCTTCTCTGGGGGAATCCCACATAGGTAAGCACTGGGTGCTCCTTAATCCCTCCATGCCCCTCTGCTCACTTCCCCAAGTTGGCCACAGCAGGAAGTGGCCAACGATGTTTAGCCATGAGACAACCTGGCTCTGGAGGAGCTAACATGGATTTTGAGCCCCTCATCCCACCCATGAGGTGCAGAACCACCACAGGACTTGGTAATGGTGCCAGAGGATTTTGAGGATTTTGAGCCCCTCCTCCCACCCATATGGTGCAGAACCACCTGGTAATGGTGCCAGAGGAGATGGTTGGGGCTGGATTGCCAACACAACAAAATGCTTTCCTGAAGAAGAGCGACTAGCCTGCCCTCCTAACAAGGCACGCTGACGAATCTCTGCTGGGATCCCCACTGTCATAATTTCCACACCGCCTTTTTCGTCAGGGCACTGGTGACTATTGAGGCTGTGTTTCTTGGTTTTCAGAGCAAACCAGAGAGCTTCCATCAACATTTTGTGTTGGGGACCCCAAAGCGAAGCCTTTCCCTATCCTCATAGAGCTGCAGATGTGTGCTATGGGGCTGGGCTTTCCGGCATTTCCTGCATCTTTCTCTCATTTTGGTGAAATGGTGGTAAGTGGTTATCCAGAAACATCTCTGAGAAGGTTTCATCTGCTGGGGATGGCCAGAGCTCAGGGATTGCTGTGCAAAACCTTATTTGCTGCTCTCTGCATCACTCACTGCTGTGGTTTCACACTTTATTGACTGCCTCTGGGTCCCGACACTGGGGATTCGGGGAAAGTATTAAGTAACGACTTCTCATGTCGTTTTGCTTCTCATATGAAGACTTCCTCCAAGCATGAGTATTAAATTTGGAGGAAAGTCTGAAGAGCTTTGGAAAATATCAGTGGTTGCCCTCTGGCTGAGGCATGGGATGAGGACATAAGAGCGTGTGCTGAAGGGTTGCTGTGGCCCCCAGTGCCATGGGATTTCCCTGGGAGCAGCTTTTGATGATGCAGGTGGCAGACCCTCCATGGCAGGGACGGTTCTGTCAGCTCAGAGCCCTGTCAGGGACCAGGGCTGATATTTCCAAAGGTAACACTGGTTACAGCGTGAGAGAGAAGGAAAGCACTGGTTGGTAGTGCCCTCAAACAGCATGGGGGCTGCAGTCCCGTCCCAAACAGGCTATCCAGGAAAGTGATAGAGTCATCATCCCTGAAGGTGTTCTAGAAACATGGAGATGTGGCACTGAGCGACATGGTCATATCAGCCTTGTGGGGATGGGTTGATGGTTGTATTTGATGACCTTAGAGGTCATTTCCAACCTCAATGATTCCATGATTATATGATTCTATAATTCAGTGTTCCACTCTGTGCAAGAAGGTGGCAGAGACAGCATGGCAAGGGGGCACAGGACCCTGGAGATCCATCAGCCACTGAATTGCTGCCAGCAAAGATCCTGGCGTTGTCACGCATTTGTGATTTGGGTTATATTTGGGTTATTTGGCTATATTTAGGAACACAGTGACCTGCCAAGGTCAAATACTGACTGGGTTGCAAAGATGTTTGTGCTTTGCTACCAGCACTTGCATTTGTAGCTAAGAGCACCCTAACCACACAGGACAGGATGCGAGAGAGTGGGTAGATAGCAAAAGCGAGTGCTGGAGCCTATCCTGCTGTGCTGTGCAGCCCCGTGGTGCTGGGAGCCCTTCTCTGCTGTCACTGTGGGTGAGCAGCACTGCTTAGCACCACCCTGCTTCTGGCAGGATCCAGCCCTTTATTTGCTGCGTGCACATCTGATAAGAGCATTGCCTTCAGCCTGTTACTTTCAAAACAACTTTGCATGATAGTTTGATCAACCCAGCCCCCCGTGCAGGCAGCCCAACTTCATCTTCTTTGCTCTAGCATGGAGCAAAGCCAGTCTATATAGCAGAGATCTGTGATTGGTAGCAGTGCCCAGAGTCCCCACCAGCCCTTTCCATGCCCAGATTTGTGTTAGTGGGGACACAGTCTGAGGATGCTTGTGCCTGTGATTGCAGGGTGAGCACTTCACCATGATGGTGGAAAAGCTGCTCAAAATCTGTCTTTCCAAATGGATGGCCAAGCACCAAGACCCAAAGTTTTGCTGTCCAGGAGCATGAAGCCATGCCCACACTGTGGTCCCAGTGCCCACAGAGATGTCCATTTCTGCAGGAGCACCCATCCTAATCCTACCTGGGGAGACTTCACCTCTGGGGGGCACAAGGGAAAGACAGGAACCAGCACAACCCATCTGCCTTCCCCAAGTATTGCAAAATTGTCCCTCTCACAAAGGAAACAGAATAGAAAGCCTTTCTTCCCATTTTGAGAAATGAATGAGTTCCAAAAAGCTTCCCAATGCCTGGCAGCCCCCACCACAATTCAGCGATACTGCCCACTGACTCACGGTCTACCTTGCTCTGAAGATGACTAGTCATGAAGCATTCATCCACAATAGGAAAAAAACAACACTGGGGAAAGCCAGGAGTGTTTCGGAGGCAGATATGAAAATTCAGAATAAGAATTGCTACCTGCTTCTGGTAGGATGGTAGGAAAAAGTATGGAAGTGCACCAGAGAAGGACGTCTAAGCAACCTCTTTTTTGTTGTGGGAGATGGTGGTGAACAAACCTACCCACTACGAAGGTTTTTTTCCAGGAAGTGTAGGTTGCTGCAACCTGTATCCCTTGAGCAGCGGCTGCTCACACAACAGTTCTCATGCTACTTGCAAGCAGCTCATTTGCAGGAGCACCAGCACCGTACCCGGAGGATGAATGAAGCCTACAGCTCTGCAGCACCCCGACCCATGAGCAGCACCTCTCCCAGCACCATGAAAATGTTTATGTGCTTCCTCGCTGTATTCATGGTGGTACAGACCATTGGGACCGTACTTTTCTGCTTATATCTTCACATGAAGATGGATAAGGTAAGTGTTGGATAAGATGAAGTTGTCTCTGCTGGACTGCTAACACCATTTGCCTTCAGCATGGAGAGGGCTGGTCACCCAAAGGAGGAACATTGGGCAAGATGTTGCTGACCACTGGACTGATACAGGAATGGGGTTTATACAGCCGTGTTCTTGTTTCTGCTCTAACTTGCCGCTAAGAGAAGATGTACATAGATGAAGAGATCTGTTCCTTTCGTTAACAAAGTGAGAATGGATTGATAAAGAGGAGCTGCTAAGGGCAAACCTGGCAGAAGTAGCCAGTCTGAGTGAACCAGGGTGCTGTGTTAGCTTTCGGGTTCCTGCTGGTCGTGCTGATGCCACAGCAGCACTGGGGCACTCATCAGGGGTAAGAGAGTCCAGAAATTAAGTTTTTCAAGGTCAGGCTGGACGGGGCTCTGAGCACCTGATGGAGATGTAGATATCCCTGTTTATTTCGGGCAATATGCACTGGATGACTTTAAAGATCCCTTCCAATTCAAACAGTTTTATGATTGTGGGATTCTTTCTGCTTTGGGAAAATAAGCAGTGGACCTTAATACTTCACCCTTTTTGATGGAAGGTGCGTAGTATCCATAATCCTGTTCCACATGTGAGACTTCACTTAGCAAAAACAGAAAAGCTGAAAAGCTGTATTTGAAGTTGCTGTGACTGCAGCAGCACCGCACAATGCTTAAAATCACTGATCTAAAACTGTTTCCCCCAAAGCAGAAAACGTATAAACTACAGAAATGGAATAGATCTTGAACCCAGAATGCAGATGCAAAGATAAGACTGGTATTAGCACCTTTTAAATGTGTTGTCTTGATCTAAATTAAGATGTAAGTGGGTGACAGCCTGGGGCGTGGGCTTCCTGGCCGAGCAAAGTGGGGCAGCTCTGGGTTGGGGCACCACCAGTGGATTTTGCTGGTGGATGGTGGGAGCAATTGGTGTCTCTCTCCTCCCCATGCTGAGCGAAGACCACTGACCTTCCCAAGCTGTGATTTGGAGAGGATGCCTCTTATCTGCATTCCCCAGCAGCAACTCACTGACCCTCTCTCTTCTCTCCCCCATCGGCAGATGGAAGAGGTGTTGAGTTTAAATGAAGATTACATCTTCCTGAGGAAAGTGCAGAAATGTCAGACAGAAGAAGGTCAGAAGTCAACATTATTGGACTGTGAAAAAGTTCTAAAAGGCTTCCAGGACCTCCAGTGCAAGGTAGATCGCTGCTGGGTGGATACAACCCCTGCTGAAGGTGGAGAGAGACTCCCAGCCACACACAAAGCATCACCCAAAGCCTTCTTGAAATCTTGGGGCTACAGAACAAGTGCTCTTTTTTATACCTTTTTTTACATGATATTTTTACACTATTGACATTGATGAAAAATCTCATTCACTTTTTCCCCAAAGTGTGTCCAGAGCAGGTCCAACTGCAGCATGCCCAAGGCGGGATGGGATGGAGTTGCCATCCTGGCCTGAAAACTATTGGTGTTCTGCTGTCTTCCAGCTCTCTCAGTTGCTGTGCGGGTGGGAAGGAGGATGTTAGGAACACTTTCAAGCTCAGCCATTAATGACAGTGCATGACTTGGATCAGCTGGAGTTGAGTCCAGCAAGGAGCAGGAGGAAGATGCCATGCAAATGCCTCCCCATGGCTTAGGAACATCACTTCCACCTACTGGCAGAGGTTTCTCACGTTTGGGTGCAGAAAAGCCACCTTGCAGAGCATTTTAATTGCACAGCATTATTAAAATTAAAGACCTAAGTCCAAAAGCTCTGCAACCCTTATGCTGCAAAGAGCAGGGCAGCCCACAGCCGTACATAATTCTGGGAAGGTGCTGGGGGATGTGATGGCTTCTGGTACCTTCTGCTGGTAACAAACAGCACCAATTGAATTTTGTCCAGAGCATCCTTTACATACAGGCTTTAATGATGTTTGATTCATACATCTTAAAGGAGTGTATTATTTTTAGAAAATGTAAGGATACATATCTTCAAGTATATATTTTTGCTGTTGTTGCAGGATAGGACAGCCAGCGAGGAGTTGCCAAAATTTGAAATGCACAGAGGTGAGTGTCATGGTGCTGCTGAAGGGAGGAGAGATGAGTGACTGCAGGGGGAAGGGGCAGGGGGCAGGGGACAGAAGAGAGGGTCGGGTCCTTTGATCCCCTTGGTGGAGTCTGTCGGGAGCAGCAGAGCATCTCCATGGGTGGGACTGTGCATGGCATGGGGTTGGCACAGACCTGGACACAGTTGTCTTGCCAAGATACTGCATTGACCAAAGTTGATGAAAACAAACTCAAAATTAAATCCTTCCCTTTTTCTCCTTGCAGGTCATGAGCACCCCCACTGGAAGAGTAGGAATGAGACATCTGTGGCAGGTAAGCATCCAAGTCACGTAATTGCTGAGGCCAGATCCTTCCTCATTCAGAGGGGAGGGGGCTTTGCAGACTGCCTCTGGGCTGGATGTGCACCATGGAGAAGCCATGGGAATTCCAGATTGTGGGGGTAGAGCAGTGCTGGGCCCCAGTAACACCAGTGTTTCCAAATTGCAGAGGAGAAGAGGCAGCCGATTGCAACGCACCTGGCAGGGGTGAAGAGCAGCAGAGCAGTGCGAGGTAAGGCAGCACTCGTGGCTTTGTCCCCAGCACGGCCCTATCTACGTGCCATCCCACATGGCTTACCGAGGCAAATAAGAGTTTGCAGGGTCAGCCTCCCAGTCTCACAAGGATTTCTCAATCAGAGCATGTTTGATTTAATTCTGGAGTAACTGCCGGTAATCGGCAACTGCTCTTTCCATCTCTGACGCAGCAATTCACCCAGAGCTCAGTCTACCTGTGGAAAGCTCTGTATTAGATAAGATCAAAGAATCAAGATGCTTGCTGCATTTTGAAACTCCCTGTTTGAGCACTTGTTGCAATTACAAAGCAGTCCCAATCTCAATGGGCTGCCAGGAGCTTTGTGATTCGGCAGTCGGGGCAGAGGAGATGTCTCCATGAGAGTTCATGTCCACAAGCTGCTCCAAGGACACCACTCGTGCCCCAGAAGCGATGGCAGCATGATGGCAGCAGCAGGTCTGCAGGGTAGGCAGAGCTCCTAGAGGTGGGAGCAGCACCAGATGCTCATTTTTGCACTTCTTTGGAGAAGTCTTACCTCTGCCCCAAGCACTGATCTTTAAGGTCACTTCCAACCCAAGCCAGTCTATGATTCTATGACGTCCACGTGGTTAGATGAAGGAGGCAAGGTGCTTCTCCATTCACATCAGTGCAAGGCCTTGTGTCTCACCAACTGCATCCCAGCTTCAGGGATGGGAATCTGTGTCCCATGGCTTGGGGATGGTGTCTTGGGGTGGACAGGAACCCCCTTTTGCCCCATTGGGGTTGGAGGCTGTGATGCCAAATGACCAAGGGACTGCCCTACAAAATCAGCCTCCCAAGCAAAATCTATCCAAGCTCAATAGCCATATTTTCTCCCCAGTGCTGGAGTGGAAGACGACGAGCTATGCCCCAACAAGCAACTTGATCTCCTACCATGAGGGGAAGCTGAAGGTGGAGAAAGCAGGGCTCTACTACATCTACGCACAAGTCAGCTTCTGCACCAAGGCGGCGGCTTCGGCGCCGTTCACCCTCTATATTTATTTGTACCTCCCCATGGAAGAGGACCGTCTCCTGATGAAGGGACTCGACACGCACAGCACCTCCACGGCTCTCTGTGAGCTCCAGTCCATCCGGGAGGGCGGTGTCTTTGAGCTGCGGCAGGGCGACATGGTCTTCGTCAACGTGACGGACTCAACGCTAGTGAACACCAACCCTGGCAACACCTACTTTGGCATGTTCAAGCTGTAGAGAGGAAGGGCCCAGCCCGACTCTGTTGAGCCAAGGGGCTTTCCCTGTTTCCCCTATTTATGTTCCTCTGCCTCTTTGTTGTTCTTGTTTCTTATATTGTATATTTTGTTATTTATTGATGAGGGCCAAGGGGCCCTGAGAACAGGAAAGGAAAAAAGTTTGAAGCTGTCGTTGTCTGCACTTCTTTTTTTTCTTTCATTGGTAGGGTTGCGTGTCTGGTCTATCATGCCCTGCTCTGCTGGCCCCATTACGCCCCATAATTTAGCAAACTCTACCAATGCTCTTTCCTTCCTAACACCTTAGGATGGCTCAGGGCGCTCTGGCCATGCTAGGTTCATGCTTATCTCCTGTACCCATCTGTTTACAGAACATCAACGGAAAAAAACATTAAAAGGCTGAAGAACATCTCTAAAGGAATCAATCAGCCAGGCACTGTCCCTACATGTTGGCTGTTGGTGATACATTATTGCCACCCTAACTGTATTATGCTGAAAACTCCTTTTTTCCACTCATAGCTGCCTACAGGACTCAGCCTTCTTGCTCAACATGTCCAAGTTTGTGCTGGTTGAAATTCAACCATCATCAAAAACACTGTTGGTGGCTGGGGGTGGCTGCTGCTTTCAACCCAGAGCTCTGGTAAGGCACTGGTGTTGCTCTGCTTCTGGTGAACCAAATTTGCCCAAGAGAATGCTCTCATGCCAAATAAAGAGCCCCTGTGGAAGGGTTTTGGCATGGTTTGGACATGCTGCCTCTCTCTAGCTGTCCTCTATGGGAGCAGAACCAGGAAAGCACTGAGGTGGCAGGGGATGCACAAAGATTGGGAACATTCCTGGAGGCAACAAGTCTACAAGTGGAGGAGATATCAGATCTGGGTGCTTCCTGGGGTTTGCGTGGCATGAGGCTGTGGGCCTGGTTCTGCTGCAGTGCTCGAGTGCAGGTGCTGCCAGGTTGGACACATCAGTGATGAGTGCCCACTGCTGCCTCCACAAAATCAGAGCAGGATTGCTAAGCCTGCCTGATTTTGTCATAATTCAATTTGCAGTTTTTTGTGGCTGTTCTCCAAAGCTGCATAACTTTGTCTGAGAACGGAGCGTTCTTGTACCATGCCATGTATAAAAACTATTTATTTAACTTGAGCTAAAACTGCCTCATATTTATGGACAGAGGGACTAACCCAAAGTGCATGGGAAACTGCACAGTGTGAAGGAGCTGCATGTGGCTGTGGTTGTGTTTTGTAATGCCTTTTGACATTTGGAGTCCCCATTCCTGAGTGTATCTGATGCATCGTGCAGGCTGCAGAGCATTGTCGAGCCCCGCAGCACCTGCTGCAATGGGGCTTTGCATAGCATCATGCCCCATGATGGGGGGCTTTGTCTGCTTTGAATGCTGCAAACCTTTCCCAGTGTGACCTCTTGATATCCTATACAGGGTTTGGGGATCAACAGGGCATCAGGACAGTGCAAGGGACACAGTGGGTACAGCTGGCCCCAAACACATTGGGACACACTGGAGATGCAGGGCAGGGCTGGGTGCATTCCAAGCAAGGGCAGGAGAGCAGGAGGGCAGCATGAGGTGCAGCTGGAGGGGCTCGTTTAGGAGATTTATAGCACCTGGCTGGAACAGGTCTTTTGCTTTTGCCTGGGTGATGCAAGGTTCTCTTTCCTGCTTTGCAGCAGGTGGATGGGATGATGCGGTGCACAAGGTCAGAGCCTGTAGGGATCTGGGTGGGGAGGGTAGTGCTCTCAGGAGTAGAGATGCTGCTGGGCTGGAAAGCTGTTAAATGCTATCTCTCCCTTCCAGCCAGTCTCCCAGCCTCGCACCGCTGCCTTTCCTGGGGCTCTTGTTTCTTGCCTCTGTTTCTTCGCTTGCCAAAAATAGCCTGTGAGATGCTGATGAGAGGCTGCACGTGGGAGGAGAGGCGATGTGTGTGTCACCATCCAGCTGTCAGGCTCAGCCCATGGCCTTCTCCCGGGCTGCTTTGTTCTCCTCCCCTCCGCGGTGCCGCAGCTTTCCTCTCCCCGTGGAAAGTTTGAAGGTCATCAATACACTGATTTTTCCCTCACTGCAGGGCCCCGCTGTCACTTATTGGGCTGTGGAATTTATGGTTTCTAAGATGATTTTTCTCCTTCCTGAGCGAAGAAGTAAGAAGGAGCCAAGGGGAAGATGAATACACCTTGGTGGCAGCTGCCCTGGCATGTGGACCAAATGGGCACCTTCCAGGCTGCCCCAGCCTCACTGGGGGTCTGACTGCACACATTAAGCTGCTTTTTGGGTCTGTTCTCACACTGGTGGCTTTTGAAGCCCAGCTCTGTTGCCTGGAGGATGCTGGTGCTGCCTGCATTATTTTGCTTGTGCAAAGGGACCTGGTGTAAGGGAAGGGGATAAACGGAGTCCGTACTCAGTAGAGATTGGGGGGTTCTGGTTAAGACCTGGATTTGGCCCCATGGGGATGTGGGAAGGGAGGTGCTCCCTCCAAAATGAGCTGAGGGTTGCTTTGCCTTTGCTCTCTGGACCACTTGTTGCTCAAGGACATCGGGTTTGGATGTAGCACTGCTCTGGCTCTGCAGTTTCCTGAAGTACCACTGAATGTCCCACCAAAGAGTTAAAGATACCAGGGTGCAAGAAAGGACTTGTCCAAGCAGTAGACCAAAGGAAATCCTGTCACCACACCTAATCCCCAGAAAAAAAAAAAAAAAAAGATAAAGCAGTAACAAAAAAAAAAAACAAAAAACAAAAAAATTAAAACAGGCAGGAAGTGGCTTATCTACAGCAACCAAGTAGTGCAATGGAGAAGAGCTCCTCTCCATAAAGCATTCCTGACAACGGGATACAACTGGGATGCAAGGGATGGAAACGCATCTCCCTGCCCCAGCACCAATAGGAATGATCCCTAAATGCCATGGTGACCATCCACGCCAGCATTCCCCTGCTGTCCAGTGTGTCAGAGTGCAGAACCCAGCATTTCAGTCCATTTTCTCTGAAACAAAAGATGCCCATAGCAAGTGCTGCTGTACTTGCTGAGTGCTCAGCAGGTTTTTGTGCTGCACTGACTTGTTTCCCTCAGTGCAGCCCCAGAGAGAGGGGAGATGGACACAAAGGGCTAAGAAGCGATTTTTATCCTTTATTTGTTGAAAATGTCAATTAAAAAACTGTCCAAAATAAAAACATGTTAGAAAAGTTGAACTTGCACAAGTAGTTACAGTAAATAAACCTACGTGACAAAGATAAAGTGGAAGGCAGCTGACACAACATCCATCTAAAGACAGACTCACTGGAACCTATTTACAAAGCACTGTAAACAAAGTAAATATGGAAACATTGCTGTCCATCCGGCATGGCTTCTTTTCCTTTTTATTTTTTTGGCTTCTAGCTCTTAACAAACGCCTGATCAAAAACATCCCAGTGCAGCCTCCATCACCTTACATCTTATAAACATGCATATGTACACAGCACAGGTTTCAACTAAACCGTGGGCAGTGGGGAAACATTCCTACCTTCTCCTAGGTGTACAAATGGCCCTTGGTTTTCCTCCTTGTGCTGACTGCATGGTGTGAACCCCAGCCCAGCCCATCTTTGGGCATGATGATGCTGGGGCAGACAGCAGTGCAGCCAAGCTCCAGCATATGCAGGAAGGTGGTTATGCTGGGAAATGGCTTACTAGCACAGCAGGGTCCAGCTCTCCCTAAAGACTCTTTGCTATGTTCTGCCTGAATTTTAATTGCAAGGAGAGAATCGTAATTATTGACTCTGTTATATCCTTCATGACCGACGTAGGACTGTAAGAAGCTGCAGTGTGTCTGCATGCACAGGGACCGTGCTGCCATGTGATACACTGAAGGCTTATAATTAACAAAAGGTTAATTGTAAATGCTGCTAAGGAAGGAAGGAAAACATCAGTTATAAACTAGGGTGTAACACCAAATAAAGTGAAGATAACTGGATACATATGCATGTTGTCCGTGTGCTGTGTTCAAGGAGCTATGCAGGGATCTGGGAGGTGCTGCACGTCCTTGCCCCAGGAGCATTCCAGCTCCTGTCAAAGCCTAAATATAAATACCTTTCCTATCCCAGAAGTTCCTTTTTCCTATAAGAAAAGCCCCTTTGGGGCAATGGGGGAGAAGCGGCCACCCTGGCCTTCAGGCAGGAGCCTAATGTGGGCAGAAGGGAGAAGGGGACGAGCATACCTGGGGGGTGTTTTTGCTGTCAAGCAGTGTTTGCATTTCATATGGAGAAAAGCATATCCTGCGAGGGGAAGCACAGCAAAACTATAAACTCATATAATACGTGGACACTCCAAGTGAAAAGAAAGCAGGGGGTAAGGGTTCCTGGTCATGCTTAAGAAAAGGGGCTGGGGGCACTACCTGTTGTGCTAACAATGAGCTCTTAGGAGGCAGTACTGTGCAATACACCTTCCCGTGTGCTCTGACAGGTGCTCCAGGTTTGATTTCCCCAAGGAATTAAAACGCCTTTGTGTTAATTGCATGTTTTAATCAGTATCGAGGCCACACAGGAACTGCAGTATTGCTGGGCTGTAGTTCACTACAGTCAATAAACGGGGAAGAAGAAGGTGGATGGGAATAGCTTCCCCAGTTGTGATTATCTGAAAAAAGGAGCACGGTGCTTTTTTGGTTTCTGCTCATTGCCATCTCAATACTGTTTTCATTCAATAAATAGGTACTGGTGCTTTTGAAGAGAATGAAAGCATCAAGAAGTGATGGGAAACTGCTGCCAAACCCTCTGTGAGCAGCAGTCACTGGCACAGGCTGGGTTTGCTCCAATGAGGTATCAGCTGCTGCAGATGGATTGTGAATCACGGACCGCTCACTGATGCTTGAGTTGTGATAGATTGCTTGTTTGCTTGATTTCCTTATTGGATGGAAGAAAAAACTATTTCTTTTTCTTTTTTTTTGGTAACAAAATTCCCCGGACCAACAAAATGAGGAGGAAGAAGAGGCAAAGGATCCAGTTCTGCTTCCCAAAATACACCTGAGGTCACACTGCCAACAGCTTCTCCTTGAGCTCAGGCAATCAGCGATGATTTGCGTCCCGTCTCCTCCCTGCTGCACTCATCTGTCTGCTTCAGCAGCCGCCGCACCAGCTTCTCCAGGTCCTTCCGGGACTTCAGCTCTTCCTCCAAACACTGCTTCATCCTTTTGTTCTCCTATGAAGCGGAAAAATAAAGGAAGAATGGGGTGGTTAACACCCATGTACTCCACAAGCCAAGGTGCCAAGGTGCCAGGGGCATGTGGAACGTGTGACAAAGTGCCAGGGTCACAGCCCTCTGAGTTGAACCACATGGGCTATTTGAGGTCTGATTTGTTCAAGAAGACCCTCAACACTGGCAGATGGACATGGCAGCAGCAATGTGTCTGCAGCTACAGGATGGGACCAGGTGAGATTTCTCCCAGACATCACCCGGCCGACTCAGACAAACAGAACCACTGCAGTTACCTGTTTCAGTTCCTTCACTTCGTCTTTCAGTGCATAAACTGTGTCAACAAGGCTCCTGCAGAAAGAAAAAATGCAAGAAAACAGAAATCAAATGAAAACATAAGAAGCTGAAGTGCAGTAAAACAGCAACAGCATTGGGAGCTTGGCGACTGAAGCAATGGTGCTTCCATCCCCGTTTTCCCCTTTTCTTTGCATTTTCTTCTTCTCCATTACAAGCTTTGCATAGCCAAAGGCACTGCTGCCACTGAGGTCACTCAGGAGCATTGGTAGACCATCAGCCAAAAATTCACATCTCTTTTCTCAAAACTTGAAAAAAAAAACAAAAAACCAACAAACCAAACCAACCCTGCTTTGCTGTCTTGAAGTTATCAACAAGGTCTGTGGTTTGGCTTCCTTGTTTATGCTACTGCAAAAAATAACAACAATGGTTTTTAAACTGAAGTATATCTTACAGAGCAGCCCCAAATCCTTCAGGCTGTGATGCAAAAAGTAAACCTAGAAAGAATGCACCGCTTGGGTGAGAGGAGGGGGCCAACACCACCACCCCAATGCTGAAGCTATGGAGCAGGCTGGGAGCACTCAGGCAGCACTTCGAAGGGCAGCAGCAGAGCACAGTGTCTGCAGTTGGAGAAGAAAAACAAACAACAAAGCTACTTATTTGGTTCTGTCCTCCCTGACCCAGTTCACTATACCCAGAGGAGCGCTGGGACTCCATACATTGGCTCTCAGGACCTGTGTGTGGGCTCCCAGGGGAAAGCAGCCATCTCTGAGCTGCTGAGAATATAGCTCTGTACTTAAAAAGGGAGAAAATAGCCACTGGAATAGCCTTGTGCTCTTGGGACAAGGCAGCAGCTTGGCCATGGGTCTGCAGCCTCACTTACTTTTCCTCCGTGACAGTCTGACCATTGCTCCTCGTTTCCTCGATGATGATTTTCTCCTCCTCAGGAAGAAGGACTTGGGGGATGGAGTCTTTACGGGAGCCTGCGTGCAAGAAGTGCTCATCAGGGAGAAAAAGGGAGACTTTTCCTGGAGTCCACAGCAGAGGCTGGGAGAGCAAAGCAGGGGCTGGGTGTGCTGCCGAACCAGAGCAGCGAGGGACAGCTTCCAGCAGCACTCAAAGCTCCATCATTACTTATAAATGAAATGCCTCGGTGAGGGTCAGGAGCTCTCTGAAGAACACGGTCTCCCTTTCACAAACATGCCATTATTTGATAGTTCAGTGATTTAATTTGACATCTTACCAGCAGTGATAAATAGTTTTATTTCCAGAGTTGAAGATGGTAGATAGGTTCTTATGAAGCAGCTTGTTCTTAAATACACAGCTGATGGAGAGATAATATTCATGCTTCCTTTCTAAAGCTACATGCAACCTGAGATTAGCATCAGGTTTTCAGTGCTGACAGCCACAGGCACTGACTAGGTTGTTTAATTCCTAACGAGTGCTGGTGAAGTAGCTGTGTCTCATCTGCCCTCCTATCTGCTCATTCTCTGTGTTTAGAAGAAAAACAATGGCAACTAAACCACTGAGTAGATGAAGCTCCCTTATCTCAAAGATTGAACACCACACAGTTTCCTAACATGAGTCTCAGTGCTCACTGATGTAACAAGCTGTTTTTTCCCAGAGGGTTATCAGTGTTACAGGCAGGAGGAGCATTCAAGAACCTGCTGTGTGCCCACCTGAGCTGAGTGCCTGCTGGAAACCCGCCCCAGTGCAGTATGCCTCGATCACCTTCAGGATCTGAGCATCTTCCTCCAGTGCAGCAGTACCTGGAACATAACACAGACATCAGCTGCTGCAAAAGCCAAGCTCTCTGTGTTCATTTCTCCCAGCCTTTGGGTAAGAGAATGTTGTTTCCTTGACTGACAGCCGTGGGACTTTCCCTAATTCCTTTCTGAGCTCCTTCACATTTTCTGGCCTTTGCAACATCCTGTGACATTGAGTACCATGACTAAATGGTGTGAAGACACACTTCTAGCTGCCTAGCAGAATTCGGGGCCAGCACAGTGTCTCACTACTTTCTAGCAGCTCCTTGGCTTTGTGGCCACAATGAACCTCCTGCAGCCATGTGGCTTCGTGGTGGGAATCACACTGAGAGCCATGGTGCTGCCTGGAGCCCCAGCTCAGGTTCTGCACACACCTGGAGCCCCAGCAGCACATGAGCTCACTGCTGTGCTGCACCTTGCAAGGTAAGAAAATCCCTTCTCAAAGCCCCGTGAAGACTGCTGAGCTCAATCCTCAGAAAAGAAGAGAAAAAGAATCAGCACTTACTTTTCCTAATAACAAACTCTTCATCTGATGCTTTTCTCTCAGTTTTCCTTTTTGGAAGAAACTTCTTCATTGTTTTCGGACTTTTGCTGGAGTCCTATAGGGAAACAGAGCATTGTGTTTAACCAGCACCAAAGGCAGCTCCAGCAGCAGAGCAGCTCGGGCTGGATGCAGCTATTGGCGCTATGCACAAAGCATTACAGAACTACAAAGCAGACAATGACAGCACTGGGGGGAAATGGTGTTCTTTGCTTTTCCCACGTACAGTTCTGTGTCCACTGCTCCCTCTCACAAAGGTGGGAATTCATAGAATCATTCAGGTTGGAAAAGATCACTAAGATCCCCAAGTCCAGCCCCAACCCACCCCGCCTGCCCATCACCACGTCCCTCTGTGCCACATCCCCATGGTTCAGGAGCACCTCCAGGGACAGTGACTCCATCACCTCACTGAGTAGAAATGTTTCCTAATTGCACCTGCAGGTCTGGGACAGGACACGCTCCTTTAGCAGATATCCCTCAGCTAACAGCCTTTGGCCGAAGAACTCAGCCACATTCACAGCATTCTGGGTTTGCTTATCAGTAATGTGGCCTCTGTCAGAAAACTTTAAAATATTATTTCTTTGACACAACTAGATTTCTAATTAAAAAAATAGCAAATGACATTGCTTCTCAGTGCATTTGCTTGAGAGTACACATACCCCCCAACATACACAGAGAACAAACAAACACACACACACAGTTAGTGTCTGCTATGGCTTCACAAGGAAGGAACACAAGCTCTTTGTCTCCTTCACTGAGTTACACATCTTGCTGATTAGGAATTAGTATATTAATAGGTTACATGCAATTCCAATTTTAAGGAATGATGAGGCATGCCAGGAAGTTTTAGTATCAGGGTCCTAAATCCTTCTTGAGAGATCTCAGCATTTGCCAATTGCCACTGACTCTCGTGTTAAGTTATGGATACAGCCAGGCAAAACGAGGGTTGTGCAAGCACAAGAAGCATGAACAGCACCAAGCAGTCTTTGCCACAACAAGCCAAAGAGATGTATCTACCCTTACCTTCAAAATATAAGACATCCTCTACAATGAATATGCAAAGAAAGAGAAGATGAGTGTGAGAGACTGATGATTTTACTGACCAAGTCCTTTAAATCCACAATTCTAAAACACATTTAAATGTTAGTGTTGTGATTAATCGTCACACCCTCCACACTGCTTCTGCTATCAGCATGCAAAGGAGAATGGCGTCATGCAAAACTGAAAAAGTTACATGGAAAACGTATGGGAAGCGGGCATTAATCCACTCTGAACACATCCATATAGAGAGCATGCTTCCTGGGTTAGTGGTAGGTTTCAGTAGATGTTGCTTGTTTAAGAGAACGGTGCTTGAAACGGGCTGACATCCATACGACTGATGCCTGGGGATGAAGGGATGCAGTGCTCTGCCCAACTTATGGCAAAGCCCAGGGCTGTGACTTCTCAGAGAGCACTGCACGGCTCTCCTGCTGCTCCGACCAGCAGAAGTTACAAATCCCAGTGCTAAAAAAACCCTTCACCTAATGCAACTGACAAAAAGAAAAAAAAAAGAAATGGAAATCATCTGTAAACCTTTCTCAGTTTGCTAACTAACCTGAATCCGGGCACACTGCTTTACCCGCAGCACCTGCTCTGTCATTGCAAATGATTACTGGAAACAGAACAGGAAAAATGACCCAATTTCAATGGAAATAACAGCGGTGCTGTGCGGTACGCAAGCAGGTTCTGGGGTTTCCTGAACACAGCTAGGTATGAGGAAATGCACAAGACTGTGCCATCCCATCCTACACCATCAGAAGCCAATTAAAGTAACAATGGATGTCTGAAAATCTCTCATCTTTTAATCAAACTCCCCCATGCTCTTCCCTGCAAGAGACACTTGAAATGGTTCTATTTGTTCATTATAGAAGCAAGGAGACTTGTGCTGAGCTGTTAGCATCGCTCATTTTGTGCTGCAGTTTAATCTGGGGTCAACACCTGCAATTGCCACTGCAGGGCCATGGGCTGCATGCCCAGGGCTATCACACAGAGGTTGTAGAGAAGCTCTTAGCTATTGAAGGACTCTGCATCAGTGCTTGCAAATGAAGGCTCATGAAGGCTGGGGGTGCTGTGATACCGCTGCTCCCATCCACATCACATTTTTGGCCTTCCATGTGCTGTGTGCAGCCCCTCAGGGATCCCTGCCTCCAGCATCACCCCTCACCTCCTTTACACTGATGGTGTAAAAGAATCCACGGCAGGAAATGAGTGAGAAATTGCAAAGGAGACTGTGGTACTAATGAAATCACTCAATCCGTGGTTTTGGCCTCTAATATAAATAAATCTCATTCTTGTACTTTCATGCAGAAAAATTTCTTCTCTAATTAAAGCCTCTCCCTAGATTTTAGTGCACAGTGCAAGAACAAGGCTGTTTAGTCTACAGTAAGGATTTGGAACATGCAAAGTTTAAGGGTGGTTTCCCACCTGTTCATTTGGTTTCGGATTAATTTAATTCCCAAAGTGAAACGCGTTGTTTTATGAATTTTAAGAAATATATCAAAACACAGTGGAGCTACTTAAAAATCTCTGCCTGGAACAACAGCACCACAGCCCTCTGGCTGCTGTCCCTGAGTCCTGGAGGGCTGAGCTGGCCATGAGCCCTGTACTCACCCCATCTCTGTCCCCCTGGGAGCCCAGGCAGTGATGCTCCCATGCTGCTGTACCCAGAAAGGCCGGTGACTCAGAACTGGAGTGCTCAGTCAGTAAGAGGAACGTTGCTGTGTTACTGGTGAGTAATCCCAAAAGTTTAACGCAAGGTAGGGAAGGATGGTGCTGCAGTTGCAGTGGGGGGTGAGAATGGGAGCGGGGGTTTATTTTGGGTTTCCCCACGCCGCCTCCTACCCCAGGCTGGGGGTTGTTGCGGGGGATGCTACACATCCCAGTGGGTGATGGGTGTGTGAATATGGGATCAAACATCACGGCTGCTGCACTGCCCTGCTCTAGCCACCAAAACAAAGATCTAAATCATACAAAACACCAGGCCTGTCTCTCCATCCCTCAGTGCAGCTGTGGACTTGACACCAGGGATGGGGCTGACCCTGCAAACACACACGCTCATGCTTCACTTGCAGCTCAAAGCCAGCTGCAGCAACCAACATGCATCACTTATTTGCACAGCATTTCCTCTCAGCATCCTTGTTGTCTAAAGGAGCAGCAATGCTACTCTGGGGTAAGATGCCTGAATACAAGTGCTATGGAATCGCTGTGCTCACCATGCACACAGCATTACCTCTTTGTAACTCAGCGCTGCCGATGGTCGGAGGGGAGGAGCGGGACGGAGGCAGCTCAAGCTCCAGGGTTTGAGGATTTTGGGGGGCTCCAGGGGTCCACGGATCTGTCCAGTGGAGCCAAATGTCTGAGGAAATGGATGAGAAAAAGCTCAGCCAGCATTGAGGAACAGTGGGCAGCAGGCAGGCTGGGAGAAGGCTTCCTTACCGAATGGGCGCTCCAGGACTGCGTTTTGGACACGGTGTTGCACGTCCCTTTGGTCAGCCTCTGCAAGTGCTCAAGCCACTCGTGCAAATCCTGGCTGGTGCTGCAGGACACGGTGATGCGCTCCATCATGTTCCCTGCAGCATTGGGTCAAACAACTGGCTTTAGCTGGGTTAGCACAGGGAGATGCCCAGAATTTGGACAGCACATGGTACAAGAGCAAAGAGAAGGAGAAGGACTGGCACTGATGGCAGCTGCTGCTTGCACTCGAGCAGCCCCAGGCAGAGGCCACACACTGACCTGCGATTTCAAACATGTGCTCGTTCCCTTCAGCATCTTCCAGCTTTGTCAGCGTCATTCCTGTTAAAGGCAGCCTTCCCTAAGAAAAGTGAGCAGGAATCAGTGTCTGCAACTGCTTCCTGTGTGGGTGTTGTTCTGCTCCTTTCTGCTGATTCCTTTCTTTGGAATTGCCTTTAGAAACTAATTTGTGAAGGCCTCAGACTGCAGGAAGAGATGCCTCTGATGTATGGATCTAGATTTCCCTGCACAACTAGGTTAAACCCCTGAGCAGAGGCTCCCATGACAGCTGAGTCATTCTCTGCTCACCTGCCACTCTTTCTACTCACCCTTTTTACACAGAAGCCAGGACTACCAACTTCCCCTGGTCCTTCTGAACACCTTCCCTGTGCTTTGCATGACGCGCTGCCCGCTCACCTCCCTCCCACTGCTGGGTGACATCACAAAACTCAGCCAAATCCTTCCCAAACCTTCAACATCTGCCTCATCACCTTCACATATGACTGTGAGATATCGTCCACTGACAGGCAGTTTGTATAGGGAAAAACCCCACAGTGAGTTCAGGACACCCAACGCACAATAAATGCTTGAGAACAGCATGCAGGACAGGTACGGTGTGGTTTTGTGTTCTAATTTCAGAGCACTCACACTTCCCAAATGCTGTCTAACCTGTTGGCAGCACAGAGCTGCTCGCAGTGTGTCCTGGCACATGTGGCAGAACACAGCCCCGCTTCCCAGCCCACTTACATCACAACAGAGATTCAAATTTGATAAAGAGATATCTGACATCCTTTTCACACCTGACGCCTTGCAGCTTCAAATCAAGCGTGCCTACCTGATAGATGAACCCGCTCATCCGCGGGCTTGCAGATAGCATGAGCAAAACATTTGAAAACAACAAGAAATATCGCTCTTCTTTCTCCTGCCAGGACAAGAATGGAGGTTAGGCCAGTCTGAAGCATTTCCCTGCAGCAAATCAAACCTGCTGCAACTGCAACCACAGTTTGAGAAGGACTGACCCCAAACCACTCATTTTGGCTTTTTTTTCTTTACAGCATCTTATTTCTGCATTGGCTTTTCTGAGCAAACAGTTCCATCAGAACTGTTCCTTCAGTTCTGCATCCTGCTGATTCTGAAGATATTACTGATTTCCCCTCCCCATCAGAAGAACAAGACCTCATGTCCCCAGCACTTCACATCCCAAACAGAACTCAGGGACTGGACACTGCAGGGTTTTGTATAACAGGTCACAGAGAAGCAATCAAGTTGATGCTAACAGGCACAGTCCCACCGAGAAGTCAACACACACACAGTATTAACGGGTCTAACACTATTGGTGGGTGCCTGCTGAAAGCACAGGTGTGACACTTGGGCAGTGGGTTTTGCCTGTTGCAAAATGCACGCAGGACATGGCAACAGGTGACATCAATACATGCCATAAAGGCGCCCTCATTTCTCATTGCTCAGAGTAAGTCATGGGGGAAAAAGAGGGAAAGTCATGCACCGTGTTAATAGAGCATCAGGGCACGATGTGTTCATGCAGGAGATGCACTCACCTCACTGCCCCCACTCTGCACCATGACCTGGGACATGTAGATGATGTTTCCCATTGTTTTTATGTCCTCTCCTTCCCAACGCTGGATGGATTCGGAAAGGATCTGCAGCTCAAGTTGTTTCCTCTTTCTCAGCTCCTGGCACTGCGACTGCAAATCACCATGGAGCACTCTGTTAGCAAAAGGGCCAGCACAAACCCAAACTATCCCAACAAAGATGGTTTCACCCATCAGCCATGCTGGGCTCAGCACTCAGGAGATCGCACTGCACAGAAGAGCTACCAGTTCTACTGCTTTACCACAAAAGGAACCCAGAATGATGGCAAAAACCCAGCAAAGGTCGATACTATCACTCATAAAAAATAGCTGCCAACTTGTAAAAGCATCGCTGTTTCGGCTCTGCTTCACAAATCTTGTCAAAAATTATACCACACTGATTTATGGTGTAATGAATACGTTAAAATGTCAAACAAATTGCAAATTACACTGAGCAAACTTTTCTTTCCAAACCAGCTCTACCTCTGAGAGTACAGGGTCACATTTTCCAAACCAAGCGAGCCACACAGCTAAACGTTTCTCATTTTGCTGGTGCTCAGAGAGGTTCATCTCATTTTGCTGAAGCAGCAAAAAGAGTTATCCCTGCAGTGGTGCACAGCCCCCAGGAATCAGATGTGCAGATATTTTCTTATCAGAATCTGCAGCAAGAAGTTGGCAAAGCATTTCAGCAGGGCAGTGGAGCAGCACAGAAGGGAACTTCTGGAGCTGCACAAGGCTGCAGCGATGCTCACAGCTGCAGACTGGTGGAGCAAATTCAAACAAAGTGCACAGCAGTCCCTCACGGTCTAAGCAGAGGCAGCACACAGCAGGGCTCTGCAGTCACTGCTTTCACCTCTCTGAGCCCAGACACTGTGGGATCATGAGAAGCATCTCTGCCTATCAAACCTCAAACCCACACCAAACCCCTCTAGTCCTACCATCATTACGTTGCGTTGCTCAGTGCACAGTTCAAGTAAAACCATCTGTCACTTATGGGCGTTTGTCACTTATGGGCATTCCTAAAGATTTATGACACGTTACAAATTCACAGAATCATTCCCCTTCTAGAATAAATGGAACGGGAGTTGAGTTTCTAAGTAAATGTAACATGATCACCCTTTCCTGTTTTCTATGAACTTTCTCCTCCCCATCTTTTATCTGCACTGCTAAGCAATGAAACCTGCATCTGCCATGCTAAGGAAGGAAGTTGGACCACATCTGGAGTGGTTATAGTGAAAGGTATTTTAGTGACTACAAAGAAAGGGAGACGATAGCTTTTATAATAACTGAAAAAAGCTTTGCTAGATGAAACCTTTGTGCATGTGGATGGCTTTCACTCCTCTTTTTCGTTTCATTGCACCAAGACTTTGAGGGGCGTAGGTAGCACAGAACACAGAAACAGCACTGGTACGTGCCTCTGACTCATCATTTTGCTGTCATTTGTCCATTCCTCACTGATGGCCACAACACCAGGAGCCACATACACATGCGTCTCAGCCAGGGATGCCCATAGGGCACATCTCAACCAACAGCATCAGGTGGCACATGATGAAGGTGCAAAGCAAAAGGAGATGAAAGGGCCCCAGCCACCAGCACTGCCCACACACAGCTCTGCAGCAGCACTCGGAGCTGGAGATCTCTGCTGCTGGGAGCCAGCATACAACTCTTGAAAGAAGCAACCAGAGGGGCACTCAAGGCTTGCAACCCGAAATTAAGAGTCTTTATCAACCATCTTTTCCATTCCAAAAGACCTTTTTTTGTTGTTTTTTTTTCTCTCTTCTTTTTTTTTTTTTTAAAAAAAAAGAGGAGACAAATGTCAGGCTTGACTCATTCTTCATGAAATGCACCCGTGAAATGGAGTGCTCTATTTTAAGAATTGCCACCTACCACAAGAGACTTGAAGGATGTGATGGCTTTCAGGACGTCTTCATGATCTGCATGCGCCTCCTAGTGAAGGGAGAGAAAAATCCCTGAGCCATGAGCAGCCACAGCCCTGCACCATATGTGCTCCATGGCCCCAGCAAACCCAGAGGCTGCCCAAATCCCCCAGGTACCCCCACAGACTAACTAAGGCAGAGTAAGAGGAGAGAAAATCAATTCAAACATGTAGGGTGGATTTTGGTCTCACATTTACAAAGGAAACTTCTATTTGCATTCCACTGCACCATCAAGGGTGTGATTCCTTCCATGCAAGGGAATTCCCATCAGGGGTGCAATTCCAGGCCTGGGTTTAAGACACATCTTGGGCCAGAGAGGGGGAAGCAGGATGCTGCCTCTTATCTCTGGCTGCTGCTGCATGGTGGTATGCTCCCAGCACCCTGGGTATCCAGGGCCTTACATCATAAGGTCTCTACCATCTAGACCTCATGCCAAGCAAATCATAAGGTATCAAGGGTTTGATGGAGCTGTCAGAGCCCCTCCGAGCCCAGGACAAGAGCTGCCTTGAACAGACTTGTCCCACCTCCAGCTGTGCAGCAGTACAGGGAACACTGTGGTACACATCCACGCTGCATACATCCACACTTCTCCCAGGGCATCACAACTTAAATCCTACTGACTCATGCAATAAAACCTCCACTCCCACACTCAGCTTAGAAGCTAGGAGAAATAAGTGACGTGTGTGTCCCCGAATCCACTGTCGACCCCCCACAGCATCCTGCCAAGAGCACGCAGCTCCCTGCCAGGCTCAGCTCTTCCCTGGCAGCTACGTGAGGGACCTCTCCCACCATAGCGCAGGGTCTCCCAGGCACAAATGTGGATTTGAACAATCATGGCTAAAAAATCTGCTGAGTAATTATCTGCTAATTAACATTGGAAGAGGGAAAAGCCAAAGCCTTTTAAAGCAGCCTATTGGGTCTGCTTTCCTCATGCCCTGGCACCCAGGGGCATGGCCTGCCTGGTGGTCCTGCATCCCACCTACCTCCATGTGCCGCTCCAGCTCCTGCAGAAGTGTCACGTATTTGTCCAGCCTCAGGAAGGGTTTGCTGAGGCTCGTGGTTAAGATGAGAATGCCTGGGTTGGCCGCACCCTGGCTCTCCATGAACTTCTCCAGCTCATCACTATAAATAGAAGCAACAACAAGAAGCAGGGCTGTGTTTTGCTGCCTCGCACGCTCTCCCGATAGCTCCCAGAGCCAGTGCTCTGCTCTGAGCTCTGCTTTCTTAAAGGCAATCCACCATCCCCTGCAAGGATACCCTGCAGACAAAGTGGGGATGCTGCCTGGGGGTGTGGGTGCTTGTGCACAGGGCTTTTCCAGGCTGAACTATGGCTGGATTTCAGCAGGTAACAAACCATATTGTGAGCTGCTATTATAGAAAGGGAGGAACTACACAGTATGACCAGGGTCCTGGTTGTGACACTGCTGCAGGGAGGACAGCTGAGCCACATCAGGGATGACACAGCTACAGCCTTTCAGCTCAGCATGCTCTTTAGCAGAGCCTTACACAAACTCAGGTGTCTGCTCAAGAGAAGGAAGGTGTTGTTACTGCAGAGCAACCAGCCAGCTAAACAGCAGCTCGGTCATTAAAGTGGGCAACTTGGGGTGATTTAATGAACATCCTCCTTTTGCAACAATGTGCCCAAAGTATTGTGGTACAGGGGAACATCTTCCCATCTGGGTGAGCACTGTAGCCACGGGTCTGAATTAACACCCAGGTCCTTTAGGCTACCACAAGCACAGGAGATGCTACACAAGGGCTGAGAGAGGCAAATGGAAAGCCCAGACCCCTAACCATTTTCCCAGCAGCAGGATCCCATGCTGTCTCCTCATCCTGTTGGCAACAGCTGGGGCAAAAGGCATGTCCTCCATCACCCACCTGTGCTGTGTGAGGACATTGACAGCAGAAGGGTGGTTCGCACAGTACGTCAGGTACAGGGAGCGGAACTGGGCCATCAGGTTCATAAAGCAGCCTCCCACACGCTGCTGGTTCTCGGGGAGCCTATGAACAACAACATGCTGTTATTGAGCTTCTTCATTTGCACCCTGCAGCCATGACACGCTCACCTATCTGCCCAGGAGCCACCTGCTGTGTGGGGATGCTGTGGATCACTGCACAGCTGGAGCACCCACACCTCTCACTTAAGGAAGAGGAAGAGGAGGAGGAGGAGGAAGGTCCTCAGGTGGGACTGAGGTCCTGTGGTATCACTGAGCACCAGAGCTCAGGACACAGGGTGACCCAGCAGATGAGATGCTGCAGCCCACTGCAGCTGGCTCCCAAAGGAAAGCACCACCTCTGAGCATTTGCTCTTTGCTCACCGGCAGCCCCCATCTTCATCCCTGCCAGATCTCATACACTGCACATTTGGGCTGGTGATGCTTTCACATCAAGTATTCAGCAGACACCTTAACAGTAGAAACGTCAACTTTTTTTCTCTTTCCTACCAAAGCACTACCTGCTGCCTTTCTTCAATCCTGCTATTTTCTATATTTAACAAGTGAGGAGGAGTGTCCATGAACGGGTCTTTCTATTATTTTTAGCTGCAATTTAATAGCTTAACAACCCCAGTGCAGTGGCATAAGCTTACTTTGCAACATCTTCCAAGGCTTGATTCAGGGTTTGCTGAAATGCACTGATTTCCTCCACGTTTCCCAGCAATGACGCGATGTCCACAGCACTGAGCCTAGAAGAGTCAAACCACCAATCAGCACCAAAGCAGAGCTCTCAGGATAGCCCCATGGTGTCTGCAAGCAGCCCTTCCAAAAAGGACCAAGGGTTTGTTTCCCCAGACACATCACAGGGAAACACAAAATCCACGATCCGTGAGCTACAGACCACAGACTCCCAGAGAAGATGTCTGCTGCCAAGGATTACCTTAATTGGATTTTAATCACTTAATCACGCTAATCTTCTCACGTGTTTAGCTGTCGAATAGACACAGACAGATGGGATTTCTTCCAGGGGTGGGGAGGAAGGTGTGTGTACAGACACAAAGACAGCTTTGTCCTCACGGGCTCATACTGTGGGTCCCCTACATGGGGAGGGTCCAACAGAGCAGCCCTACAAGCAGGGATTGCTTTGTTCCTTAAGGTTGGAATTTTCCTTGCCATAAGCAGCACATCTGCTTCTGTCACCCTGCTTCTGTCTCTCTCACTTCAGCCACTTGCTGCCTGCAGTGTGGGTAGGCTGAGAGCATGGGGAATTTCCACAGCTGGAGACATCCCAACATGAAGATTTGGGGAAGGAAGGCAAGATGTGGAAGGAGTTTAAGCAGAATGCTTCTTGCTCAGCAGCAGCTCAGGCTCAGCGAGAGGCAACCCCAATCAGAGGAACACAATGAGGAGATGACTGGGAGGTGCCACTTGGGGCTGAGAAGTCACAAGACAAATGACAAGGGAAGAAGCCATGCAAGGCACACCGCCAGAAAGCATGCACACAGCAGCTTGCAGATGGATGGGAGCAGCCAGCCCTCGACCAGACAGAAATGCCCATCTCTAACAGCTGAGCACCTGCACGACCACTGGGGAATGGGAAAGAGCAGAAATTTGTACCAATGATTTTGTTTTTTTCTAGTTCAAAGAGGTGTGAGGCTTTACCAGAAGGGCAGTAACAGTCCCTAAACATTCAAAAGCAGGAAAGTAATGAATTCTGGTCGATTTTACAGCGTTCTATCCATCTCAGATGCCCTTATATCTTACTTATCATAAGACTGGAGGGGTCTTAAGTAAGTTCCCAGAAGTGACTGTAGTTCCTTCGCATAATCTCGTTCTGTTTCCAGAATATTTTGCAACACCTAGGGTGAGAGACAGAGCACTGAGTAGATCTTGGTACGCGGGACCAGTCAAAGGAATACAGGACATCAGCTTCAAAGTGTGGAAAACCACAGAAGTGTATTTTATGCCCATAAATACATCTAAATTTGTTAATGCAGAACTCAGAATGCTCAGAAAAGCCCTTGGGGCCCAACTAATGGATTGTGCATTGCAAACTGGGGGAGGCCTGGACAGCAAGTGTTAACGGTTGCTCCTCCTTCTCTGGCAAAGCATGAAGACAGTGTGAGTTCAGATCTGAGTTTAGGATTTGTCCCTCAAGAGGCTCACGCCTAACCCTGCATGCAGAACTGGCTGCCAAGGTAAGCAAACCAATGATGTGTGTGTGCACCCTGGGACCACTGCTTGCAAGAACTTAAACAAAACAGTGGCTAAAATACAAACAGTTCAGACCAGGGCACAGCTCAGTGGCCACTGCAAGGACGCGCTGAGCTCAGCCTTGTCCTGATGCTCCACTTCAGAACAAGGCATGGACCATACCTTGTTCATACAACCGAGTTAGAAGTGACCCTTAAAGGCCATCTGATCCAACTCCCTGCACTGAACAGGGACACCCACAGCTCCATCAGATGCTCAGAGCCCTGTCCAGCCTGACCTTGGGTGTCTGCAGGGATGGGACACCACCACCTCTGTGGGCAACCAGTTCTGACACTGCTCTAAAAGCTGCCGCCTCCACCGTTATCCCAGCTGCCCACTTGCAGTCTCACTTTGTGACATTTTGCAACTTCCATTTGTGGTTTATCGTCTCGACAGCCCCGAATGAAGGAAATGGCAACAGCTGCATTTAAATACAGAGTCTCTTCCTCAATTGTTACAAATTGCTTCAGTGATTTCTAAGGGAAGGAGCCAGTTCAGAAGATTAATAATACGATACTTATTAAAATGTATGATCAGCATTTTAAAACTCACCACAGGGTAATAATTCTTTGTCAGCTGAGTGCTTTCAAGTCCTTTTAATGCTTTGGGAGAGAGTGGTTTATCTGTACCAAAAAAAAAAAAAAAAAGTCAATAAATGATAGAGCACAGCTCACTCCAGCAGGAAAAGTCACTGCTGCATCATGTCCAGCAAATATGACATCACCCATGTGAACACACAGTGATCTGCTTCATAGAAACAGGGAGCGAAGGGACAGGGACCCTGCAACTCACACAGCATTCAAAGCCAACACCAATCAGTGAGCTGAACCCTGCAATGCAAGAGCTGTGAATGAAGGGAGATTTGAAGAAACAAAGCTCACACAAACCTGGCAGTCAGTTCTTGTCTTCCATTTCTTATTCATCTGCTGAATGGCTGAGGATGCCACACATGCTTGCACACTCACTCACCTCCACACCGGTCCCTGCTCTGGTGCTCCTCCTCCAGAAAAGCACATTCCCTGCAGCAGACCCATCACTGCAGGCTGCATTTGGTCCTCAGAGGTGCTGTCCCTGCGCTGAGTCCCTCAGTGGGCCTTTCCCCCCATACACACTCGGGAAAGCAATTACTTTCACACCGATAGCAGGGGAGAAGCTGGAACTGACAAATTTAGCAGCTGGGGAGCACAGCATGACACACTGTCTAATTATTGCCCTTGTACAGTTTCCTGTCGCTTCCAGCCAGGAGCTCTGTCCCTGCTTATCTCCACCCAAAGGGCACGCTCAGGACATGGCAGAATGCAATGCAGACACTGCTGAAAAAACAGTGTCTCTATTTCGAGTGACACGTCTCGCACTTCGGAGGCGAGGACAGCAGCTCCCCAGCTCACAGCAAGGGCTGTCCCCGGCAGCAGTGGGTTATCTGGTGCTCCCTGCATCACTGCAGTGTGACCCTGGAGAGAGCATCCTCAGCTTTGTGCCTGCACCCTGTGAGGATCCCACTCCCACCTGAGTTGGGAGGGCAGGGAGGGAAAGGCTTTGCCCACCTTCGTGGAGAATTCGTCCTTTGCCTCCATGAGGTGCTGCTATTCCTCCCAGCCAACCTTCCCCATGGGACTGAGTATTGCTCTCCTTTTATAAAACGCTGCTCTTCTCCACTCACGGACTTAATTAGTGATTCCTGGCTTGTGCCAGATGAGCCCTCAGTCTGCTGCAACGTCCTGCTCCAGCTCAGACATCATCTCCCAGAGGGAAATAGCGGGAGATGAGATATCCTAACAAAGATTGTTTCATTTAGAATGAAATAAAAACTGACCTAATTCTGAACACTCACTCATTAGTTTTGTTCTTCCTTCCTTTGCTTTTTTTTTCGCTTGCAAGAGTGGGAGCAACAATATCTAATGGGGGCTGTGCATTTTGCAGCCACTCTTCATACCACTCGTGATGCCTCTCAACAGGTCTGCATCTATGGGAAGCCCTCAAGACACAACAAGAAATTAAAGTTGAGTTTTGTCAAAAAAACAAATCTGCTGTCACACAGCAGCCTCAGAAGCACAACAGGGTGAGCTGCCCGGCTCGCCAGGGGCTGCTGCATGCCATCCTCACCCCACATCTGGTTAAAATCACATTGCAGAAGATGTTAAGGACACTCGAGACACAGCTCAATAAAGGCAAATGTCATCAGGCGGATCGTTCCCTCACTGTCCCTTTCTCAATATTGCCCGTAGCTTCACAGCAGAAGATGCATCTGGGGGGAAATGTACTCTGTGAAATCAGCCATGGCTATGCACAAAAAGAGGGGACCGTTCCTTATGGCCATACAGTTATTGTTGCTTTCCTTGCAGAGGCCGTGAGCATCAATTCCGCTCCTTCCAAAAATAGCAAGCTGGAAGGCAAATGCACTGCCTGATGGAGGTTTCTAACAAAAAGCCAATTCTGTGCTTCGACACTGGAGTGACCTGAGAGCTCCCGTAACAACGGGAGGCAAGGAGACCCACAGCCCTGTCCTGCAGCCATGTGCTGCCAGCAGAGCAACAGAAGGACACAAGAAAGAGGGCGAAGCAGCTCTCAAGTGATGAGAGAGACAGGGCTTTCCCCTCCTCACGCTATTCATACTTCCATTAGCACTGCTGCCTTAAGCACACTGACATCCTTAATAAATAGCAGCAATTTCCCAAAGGCACAAGGATCTACGCTGCATTATACTGCTGTCATTCAATCAGCCCTTGAAAGCAGTGTGCTTACCGGTGGATTTGATTTCTCTGACGTAGTTGCTTGGGAACCAGCCTGTTTTTCCATTCAAGGTCCCTTCCCACCAGCCCCCTTCCTCAACCCGGGTGACATAAATAATGTCTCCTTTGTTAACGGAGAGTTCATCCTCATTGGTCTGCTTAAAATTGAACCTGGCCTTTACCACCAGCTGATGGCTGCCATTCTCGGTCATCTCCTAAGGAAAGAAACATGAAAAAACATCAGTGGATAGTCCAAAAAAGCAGAATCTACCAGGACAAGTCATTGTTCTTTGTTGTTACAGCTGTTTTTTTCAGTATTGCACTCCACACCAGCAGAAACATCTTGCTCTTGTGTAAGCACCCCGCCAGAGGTCCCTCCCAAGAATTAATTCAGTCTCACTGTGCTATGGGAAATAGATAAGCATCAGCCTCCTCATTTCCCAAAGAGAAGCACCAGACTCTCTGCACCCGGAGCAGCAAAGCCATGATGGAGATCAGGACACAACGTGCTCGAGCTTAGAGGTATCACCCCCACCCCTCTACCCCCACAGCCAACACACCCTCAAGAGGATATTAAATGAAAGATACCACAGCCTTGGACTGCCTCCTTAGGACCTTTGCTGACTGTGAGGCTGTGCTGTTGGAGTCGGTGTGGGCACCTCCAGCTGCAGAGCTAAGAGCCGATGGATGCGAACATGGCCCTTTGGATGGCTGATCTGCCAAAGCAAAAACAACAGCTGAGTTTCACCCATCTGACCCCAAACCTTCCACGTGGCAGCAAAGAGTGAAGCCCACAGAGGAAACAAGGACAGGGGATAACAGCTGGAGGAGCATCAGTACCTAAGGGGGATGGTTTTTCTGGGCTGGATTAACTCTTCCACGATGGAAGAACATGAACTGCAGTCCAGAGGCACTCTCAATAGGATGAGAAGAAATGGCCTTAAGTTGTTTCAGGGGAGGCTCAGGTCGGGTATTTCTTCTCAGAAAGAGTGGTGAGGCACTGGCACAGCTGCCCAGGGAGTGGTGGGGTCACCATGCCTGGAGGTGTTCCAGAGCCGTGGGGATGTGGCACAGAGGGATGTGGTGATGGCATGGTGGGGTGGGCTGGGGTTGGACTGGATGATCTTAAAAGTCTTCTCCAAGCTTAACAATTTTATGATTCTACATCTTGCCATGGCCACCCATCCAAATGCAATCTTTCTTTTGAAATCCCTCTTAAATCAGCTGAAAATAGACTAATGCTTAGCCCAGTGCTTCTGGGATCCAAGTAAGCACTGCTGAAGGTGTTTCAAAGGTTGGCTCACAAGTGAGTGCCCTCAGGTCACCTCTGCAGCTGCAGCGTGGGCTTCCCCGCAGAGTGGGGAGGAATGTGAGCAGCTGTTCAGCACAATTGGTCTCTATTCAGACAAGTCCTTCTGGGTTCATTATACAGCTGAGAGATTGCTGCTGGTGAAGCACTGCCAGGAGCCACGTGAGAGAGGGATTCAGACTCCTCCAAGGAAGGACAGGAGCATCACCCCCAGCACAAGGGAAGGACCAACCCATCCTACAGTTCTCAGAGCTGCTTCCTTCAAAGCTCAGTGCTCTGCAAACTGGTCTCTGGGCTTGATCCTGACAACGCATGCCAGATATTGGAAATCATGATGCTGCTCTGACACAGATCTATGTTTCACAATGAGCAATTTGCTTTTATATTGATACCAAGGGTGACCACGAGACTTTTTACCCTCTGGCAAGTTTCTTGGCATCCTGATCAGTGGCCTCAATGCAAAGAGCAGCATCAGCCCTAATCCTGCTCAGATGCTGCATGGAGGTAAAAACAGGGCTCTCCAGGCACTATAATTTCCAGCAGTCCTCTGCCACTGCACCTCGTACCACAGTGTGGGAAAACAATCAGATCACCTCCTCTCTATGTGCCACCCTGCAGAAGTGAAGCAACAGGAGATGCTGTCATTGCAGGGAACAGCGTGGAGCGCTTTGAGGTATCCCTTGTTGCTTTTGTTCAGATTTAAGAATGCCTGTATTCCAGAGAAGGTATTTTGCATCTGCAGCATAGAGCTAGAGTGCCCATGGGCCAGGAAAGTGCAAAGAAGAACAGAATGCTGCCTGCAGGCATCGCTGTGCTGGGGATGTGGGTCCCCTGGATCATGTTTGAAGCTTCTCCTTGAAATGGCTGCAACAGGAGAAGGTGATCAAGCCACTGAGAGTGCCGGAATCACAACACACAAACTTAAGGCTGTTGTGCCCCTGTTATCCTCCAATCTGAATGTCAGCATGGAAAAATCATTCCAAAGGGGAAGTTTGGTGGGAGTTACAGGAACTCAGCTGGGCTTTCATTCTCCCGAGAGGATTTTTGTTTCAATAGAAAAAACACCTCCTTAGGTGGACCTGGAGCAACACAACCTGCAAGCTCTTTGCAGAGGGAACTGCTTTCTGCTTTGTCTTCCTACAGTGCCTTGCATAATAGCACCAGGTCCACGATTACGACTTCCAGGCGCCGACAGACAACATGCACTGGTCTGCCCAGTCCCTGCTCCAGCAATGGACAAAATTCACGTCAAATCAAGCATGCCATCAGTGAGTCAGTGTTCTCTCTTGCCCTACTCATTACACAACGCCTGATGACCATGCTGTGAATTCCCAGCTCTCCAGACTGCTGCAGCAACACCAGAACCTCTTGGTATGAAAAACCCGCTTTGCAAACACGGGATTTGTCACTGCTGAAGCACCCCAATATTTGAGCAAGAGTGGTTCCAGCCACTTCCAGACCAGGAGGAGTGGCTTGGCCGCCACTTTGAGATGTTCTTCCCTTCATTCCTTCCAAAAAGAGAGGGCGTAGACCGCGAGTCCAGACTTCTCTGCTTATTCAAGCCATCAGCCACAGTCCCACGGAAATGACTCGGTTACTGTAGATTTTATGCTTCTTTTTCCCTGCCCCTCCCTATCTTCCAAAGCTTTTATAAATATCTGCAGCAACCTAGAAACAAATGTAAAACTGACTTTGACAGTTTGGCAGGGAAGTGTATCATTTATATTGCATCATGACAGCGTCCTATTTTATGCCTGGTCCAGCATGGAACACTGCTGCCATATGTTGCTTCAACTATGGTTAAAATAGCTGGGTTTTCTGCTCACATTCCTACACTATTTTAGGCAGGAGAGCCTTGCCTGCTCCATCACAGCTGCTTTTCCTCCCCTACCCTCTCTTTTAGATAAAAGCACCAAGCTCTGTGTGGCTGTTACTTGACAGACAGCTGCTGAACCCTGAGTTCACACACCACACGTGATGCCTGCAGTTACTTGCTCCATGAGGACATAAGGATTTGGGCTTCAAGGGGATGGATGCTCAGAAGCACGCTCTTGTACTGCTCCCCCAGCTGTCTCTTGCACAGTACGGATGCCTTGCAGAAGAGGCTGTAGGTGCAGACCTGCTGAGGATGTACCAGTCTGGTTCTGCTGCCCCAGAGCCCCAGCAGTCAGACAAACCCATCCACAGCGGTGGTTTATAGGACACAGGCTCCCGTTTCTCAGGAATGTGGCCAAGCCACCAAAAAGCAAACTTTTCAGACATGTATTTATTTTACCCTGTACTTTTCCCAAGGGTGCTCTCTGCCTGAGCAGCTAATTATATCACAGGCATTGCGCTTTTTAACATTTAAATAGAGAAAGCATATGTTCCAACAGATGTTTGCTATGAAACCAAGAGGATCCCAGCTCCTCCAGAGCCCCTCGGGGAACGCGTGACAGAAACTATTCCATGGCAAAGCCGTGTCCTGAGCTTCACCCAGTGATTGCAAAACCCCATTCGGGGCTGCTAATAAGGGGACTGCTGCGACAACAGGAGTCAAAAAGGAGCAAAGCTGTGCTGCCTCTGCTCCAGCCGAGAAGTTGGTAAGGAAGCCAAAGGAGAAACCTTCCTGTGAAAGGGAAACGCTGCTCTGGGTTTTGAGTTTTTCTACTCTTAATCACCTAATATGTGTTATCCAGTAGGGAAATTAAGCTCTCACGCTGGTACTGGGTTTTGGTGGTGTGCAGGACTCCTTGTGCTTATATGTGTATGCTTGTACATAGATTGCTCCGAAAGTAATGCCTCCTATTTAGTTTCATGAAAACAACAACATGTACAAAGCGCACAATAACACTAACAGATCAAATTCTCAGCTACAAAACATCCCACCAACATCCACCTCTGAGGTCATGGGCCAACATAAGAGAGGAGGCACTACTTTTGGAGCAGCCTCATACGATGAGGGCAAGAAGCAGATGCTATTCCCAGCTTAGTGCAGTCCCTCAGCCCCTGAGCATTGGGACAATACAGCTCAGCTGAACACTGGGGATGGAAAAAGGAGCAGGTGACTCGCTTTGCTTTGCTCCAGCAGCAGCTCTGCACTGAGAGAGACAGGAGAAGTCGTCAGCAGCAACTGTCAGTGCTTGGCTCCCCATTATGGGATCCACAAAGCACGGAGAGGAACATCGATACAATTGAGTGAGCATCTGGCAGTGTTGTTTGTTTTGACATTCAGTAAAGATATTCTGCAGACGGATCTGTTTTTCTGTTCGGCTCTCAAACACGCCGTCTGAAACCTGACATTTGCATTCGGGAGGTACGCGCTCATTTACATCGAGGCTCCTTTACACTGACCTACTTTGAGGTCCCTTCATGCTATCAGAACCGAGTAGAGGTTCCTGGCTGTGAAGCGATAATCTCGCTCTGCAAAGTGCACCCAGCAGCTCTGAATCACCACCCTTAGAGCCCGAGCTGGTGGAAGGGTGAAGCACTGACCCACCAGCATCAGGCACAGTTATCCAAGCCTCCATAAATCAGCACTAACTACGAATTACCAAAAAATATCCCCCCCCTCCCAGCAGACATACGAGGCAGCACTCGAAAAGACAATAGAAAACACGATTTTTCCTTACCTTCAGTAGCTTTATTTACAGCTGTCAACGTACTCAGGACCTTGGAGAACTGTTCTCCGCTGTACAAATCATGCGGCTCAAACAGCTGCGAGAGGAGAACGTGGTCAGTTCGGCACAAAACATCTCCCTCTCGCCTCCGAGCCGCCCACGTCGCTGTGATGAGCAATCAGCTGTGTGCCTGCAGGGGTAGGGCTCTCTGTTTCCCATGGGGCGGCGCGTTGCTGGGGTTGGGGGCATGCATGGCACCCAGGGACCGACCTGGGCTGCTGCAGAGAGCGGATCCTCTGGGATAGCTGCAAAGGTTTCTGCTGCCTTGAAGGCAGGGGAGATTATGTTGCTATTTTTGTTGTCTAAAGATAAAGAGATTGAGGCTGTACATGTATATACACACACATACACACGCATTTTCCCCAGCAGAAGAAACAAACAGAGAATTTTCTGTTCTTGCAACATGGTAGATATAACGCGATGGCAATACGGCGTATGTAAGGTGTTTACAGTTTTTTAATGGGAAGCTAGAAAAGGTTACGTGCAAAACTCTGAAGGATTTTGTGCTGCTCAGACTCAACGGCAATACAAAAACAACAAATTAGCAACGGCTGTGAGTGGAAAACTGAACCCTGTGCACCAGCCTCAGAAATCACTGCACCACAAAGAGGGGCAATTGCAGCTCCCAGTGCACTACCATCCCCTCCAGCACGTGAGAACTGCCCTCCATTCAGACAAACCATTCCAACCCTCTTCCTAACAAAGCAGAGCTCAGTGACACAGAGCCCCCAGACCTGGTACCACCACATGCCAACCCCAAGCCCACACTGTCTCACAGATAGAGACCTCAGATCTGTAAATCCTACAGATACAAAAGGTGATACTCAAGCTCTCTTGCCAGACACAATGTACAGATACTTCCAAAGCACTACAGAGTATACTGTTTAACAAGTACAAGAGCATTAACAGTCTTTAGGGCAGCACTGCCCTTAGAATGGCCCTTCTCTACACTCCTGGCCCATCATTGTGTTCTGAGGGGACAGAACAGGCCTTTCTGAGCCTGGGATGGGGATGCTCACAGCGTGGCTTTCCCTTTCCATCCGTGCAGCAGTGCAGTCTAACACAGGCAGCACAAAGGCTGCTCTTTATGGAGAGTATTTTTAAAAACTGACTCAGCCACTTGATACCGAGAGGCTTTGACCGAGAGCAATTCAATCCACGCTCTGTGAAATGCACAGTCTCTCCAATCCCAACAGCAGCAGCGCAGCTCCCATTGCACCCCAACACCCAGGAATGTGTCCACAATAGGGGCTGCTCAGAGCTCACCCCACCTGACACCCCATGCCAGCACTATCCGAGCATCACCCACAGCGCCCAGCAGCAACATCAGAGCCTCTGTGGCACAGGAGATGGTAACACTGACCCCACTGGCAGCTGCCGGAGGATGCAGAATGCCAGCAGTGCCATCACCTCCTGCCAAGCGGGAACGCAAAGCTGGCGGTGAGGCTGCGGCGTCTGCGTGCATCTCACTGGTGTGTCATTTGCTCAGTCGTGCCTTTTTGCTTCCACTTCAGTAAATCCAGAAAAACGAGTCCTGCCTTGAATGAATGGCTGCTTTTTTTTTTTTTTTTTTTTTTTAAAGGACCAAAGTGGGAAAATGCATCCTCGACCTTTTTATGTATAAAATAATGCTGCGAGCTCAGAGCCATCACACTGATAAAGCCCTAAGGATGGTGGCAAAAGACATGTAAAACAAAATCCTGGCAGGAAAGCAAGCCAACAACTTTTGGGACTTTTCTTCAGGGAGAATTCATACAGAACAGCCGCCGTGGAACAACGCCTGCGTGGAAAACTCCTCTGGATGAGCTGCTGCAATGTGAATGTGCTCTGCAGTGCGTTCCAGAATAAACTCATCATACAGAAAAGTCCTCGCTTAGAGCTAAAAATCACTTTTTCCAGTGCGATCCATCCCTAATTCCATTCTTAACGACAAGACAAGCTGGGACTAACAGCGAGGAAAAGTCCTTCTGCTCCGAGCTCACGGTGCGAGCAAGCCCCGTACATCCGCGGTTGCCATTTGACGCTCTCGGTTACAAATAGCTTTTCCTGCTCCACGATCCCGGACCGCGGCTCTCCGCGGTGAAACGCCGGCGGACAACGCGCACCGCACCGCCGCGAGGAGTGAGGGGAGCGCAGCGTCCGGCGGAGCCCAGCTGTGGGCATCCCGCTGCCGGAGGACCCTCTTTGCTCCTCCAAACCAAACCAAACCAAAGCCAGAAGCCGGCAGCAGCCCGCACCCCATCCCGGGAGGCGCGGAGAAGTTCAGGGGAGCCGGGCTGCGCGTCAGCCCTTATCCGCACGAACTGATCCCACGCTCGCCCGCAACCGGCGCGGGGCTGGAGCCGACCCGCTACGGCAGAGACCTCCGGGACCCGGCAGCCCCGCAACCCGGGTGATGCAAAGCGCGGTGGTACCCGTGGGAACGGGCCAGGCGGCGGGGACAGCAATGCGTGAGAGCGGATGGGGACAAGAATGGGAGCGGTGATGCTGATAACCCGAACCGGTGACAGAACGGGGTGGGGGGTGAAGTGAGCAGGTCACGCGTGGGGAGCCCCGAAATCACGCGTAGGGCAACGCGGTACTCACGGCGGCGGACGGGCGGGCGAGCAGCCCCGGGGCATGGCGGCAGCGGTGCTGCTGCGGGGCCGGGCCGGGCGCTGCGGCTCTGACCCGGAGCCGGATCGCGGAGCGGGGAATGGGGAGGAAGGGGAAGGGGAAGTGACAGGCGGCGCCGCCGCCCCGCTCCGCCCCGCTGCCGGCTGCGGGAAGGAGGTGGAGGGGAGAGGGGAACGGGAGGTGGGGAAGGGAAAGGAGGGAAAGGACGGGAATGAGGAGGAAGGGGAGGGAAAGGGGAAAGAGGAAAGAAAATCGAGAAAGAAAAGGTAATTGGGAAACTGGGACAGGACAGAAGAAAGGAAAGGGAAAAGGAGAAAGGAAAGGGGAAAAGAGAAAGGAAAGGGGAAAGGAGAAAAGAACGAGAATTGGGAAAGGAAAGGCACCAAGAAAGATGACAGGAAAAATGAAGGTAAAAGGATAGAGAAAGAAAGGGAAATCCGAGCTGCATAAATGGTATTTACAGCGTTTTTGTAAGAGCAATGCTGCAGCAGAGCGCAGGGATCCGAGCAGCTTGAGGTGCTGACATGCTCAGAGCACCGTGTGCTCGGTACACCAAACGCAGCCCCTGAGCTGAGCTGTGTGTGCCTGACACCTCGCCGTGCAGTGAGGGAATGCCGCCCTGCGGGCACCCGCACAGCTCTGCGCTGTGTCTCTGGGTTGCTCTGTTCCAAACGGAGCCATCCATCTCCTGCTACTCACTCTGGGTGGTGCTGGGCAGGGAACTTGGGTGCTCCCCAGGTAGGAAGGGAGTGAAGCCGGAGCAGAGTGTGGCTTTGGGTGGGTGGGGATGGGGAGCAGGAGGGTGATGGGTTTTCATCCTCAGTCCCAAACTCTTGGTCCAAGTGCAGTTTGGTGGAGGTTGCAAGCATTCTGGCTGCAGAAATAGCGGCCCTCAATGGCAATGACAAGCTGTGTGCTCTGTGATCCCCCTGGACAGCCTGGTTAAAGCCAGGTATTGATTTATGTTGCAGAAACCATTCTTAGTTCACAACATCCAGCTCTGTGGTTACACTGCAATAGAACACTGCTACTGAAGCAAGATTACTATCCTGTGCTTCTCCAACAGCAAGCAATGCTCAGCTATTCAGCTGCTGTCACTGTATGCACAGCGGTACCAACAGCAAAAGCAAAGATGAATCATTCCCATTTACACCCTCAAGATGAAGCTGGGCCGAGAGCTTTCACCCCTCTTCATCTTCCCCTTTCCCCCAGGTTCCATCTGGCCCTGGGACAGACTCTCCTGCCCTCAGCCTGCTGGTACTCAGCCATGGCTTGGCAGGACTCACTCTTGTCCTTCCCCTTCCCTTCCACTGAGTCCCCAATGTGTGTTTCATCATTCATGTAACGCTGGAGACAGTGCTGCCCACCTTCCTGTGCCTTCCTTCCATTCCCTAAGATTGAGTTACCAGGACAACAGGACTGGTGGGAGGACAGCACGTGTACAGAGCTCTGCAGGAGTAACCCCTCTGCACATCCCCACTGCAAAAGGTCTTCTAAGCAGCAGCTGGACAGAGGTCTGTGACACAAGGGAGAACCAGCTCGGATCCAATGCCAGACCATTTCTTCACACCCCGGGTACAGGAGCTCTCTGGCACGCTAATACAGCTATTTTTCGGAAAGTTTTGGGTGCAAAATTCAAACTCAAACTCAACTGGTCTGAGCTTAATCCAGCTCTTGAGGTCTTGTAGCGACCAGGATGGGCAGCCATGTCAGCCCTATCAAAGCTGCTCAGAATATTTCAAAGACTGAACAGTTAATCAATCAGAAACAAAACAAAACAAAACTTAGAAATCTTTTCCTAAATGAAAGCAAGGAATAGAGGAAAGGGAGGAGCAGAGCAACCCCCAGAGCTGGATGCACAGTGCTGCAGATCCCTCATATCTGAAAACCGCAAAGTGACTCAATATTATCAACCGGCTTAAATGATGAGATGCTGATGCGCAGCAGTTGAGAACTGTTTCTATCTCATCTTTTAGATGTTTAAGACTTCTGTTCTCTCTATATACTTTCTGATTAGTTTTTAAATAGAAAAATAATCTCTCTGAGGAGCTGAGATCACATGGTGCAGCACCAGCAGACCGGCAGGCTGATCTCTGAGCGATAGGCCCTCTGTGCTTCCATATGTATCTGCTCTCACGCCCGGCTGTTGCAAGAGGCTTTTAGAAGTGAATTATTGGGAAACAACAGGCCAGTGAAACAGCTCCGCAATGAGCAAATTGTCATGCTGGTTAGCTAAAGAGATCTAAGGAGAAGAAAGGCTCTTTTCTTGCTCGAAGCTTCAAAGGAGGACAGAACAGTCACGGGCTGGACTTTGCATTGCTGTGCTGTATGAATGTTTTGCAGAGCGCTCCCTGCTCCTGGCAGTTCTCTTCAGAATATAGATTCGTTTCCCAAGGTTATCACGTTAAATGGGACACTGACAGCCCTTAATTACAGGTTTCTTGCTTACTGTTGGAATTCTACTGTGATACAAAAATTCTAAAACACATTTTAAACCCATACGCACTTAGTAAAAAATACGTAATGGCAAAATGAGCTGAACTCATTTTGATCTGATGCACTGACCTGATCCACTCTGATCTTGCAAATACAACTCATGCTTGGCATAGAACCTGCAGATACAGGGTCAGGAACAGGGTCAGGAACAGCCTTTGTCTTCAGATTATTTGCATGTATGAAGATTGATTTCATGTTAAATTTTCAGAAGAATCTCACGCAACAAGGGGGTGAAAAAAGCTGCTGTATTATTTCCCCTTTGTAGTAAAGCAAAGCTAAGAACTGCAAGCCCTTGTCTGCAATGATGGACTAAAAGATGTAAACAGGTCCTCACCACCCAATGGTTCAGACAGAATCTGTTACTGCTGCACACATTTCCACACCTCCACTCCAAGACGTGGAGGAACCTGTCAGCTCACAGCCCATGCACTCCATTCCCACTAAATTACCCATCCTCCTATTTATGCTGTTAACACAGAAGATCAAGACAGACTACTGATTTTGGCCCTCTGGTATATGACTTCCATATGCTTATTAAACAAGCACGATACACCAGCACGATGTAAATAATACTTAATAATAAAGACGACTTACCTCCACTTTAAGAACTGCACAGCCCCTCAAGAACTCTTGAATATTACTGATGCAATCAGCTTCATTTTTCGGCTCCAGACAATACTACAGAACAAAACGCACGGAGATGGTTGTCTTACCTCCCATACAGCCTTGTCAGAAGGCCTGCATGAATACTGACATGTGCGCTTTGTGCTGAATTAGGGAAGTTCTGGAGGGGGCGGTGGGGGTGGCAGGCAAGCTGTCGAACCAGGAAGAAAGAGCCACTGGAGGAAGTGATGCATGAGTCGAAATGGTCGGCATCTTGTTTTGAATGTCAACATATGACAATGCCCCAAACGGCAGTGGGAACTGATGGCTTTTAAGAACACAGTGTCCCAAACCATCGTCTACAAGCAAAAAGAGCTAGCAAGAGTGATTTCTCACAAAATAAATAAAAGGCTGCTATCTTACAGAGGACATTTTAATTCGATAGCTTATCTGTGCTGCCGTTTCCCATCTCTCAGACTTCCCTTTTTTCACCGGCAGTTACCTTGCACACTGTTGGACCATATGAACACGCTTCAGGAAACTGATAGGTACTGACATGGCTTTGCTACCAATGGGTTATGGGTTTGCAACAGCTTAAGTTGTTGGATGTAAGGTTTATGTACTCCAACTTAACCCTGTTCTCCACCGTGCTTCCCAATTGGCAAAATATTTTACAGTCAGGTCTGAAAGCATGTATTTATGCTGCTGTAATTCGTGGTATTTACGTAAATATAAACTGCATAACTTATTCAAAACCAGGACATTCCCAACTCTGGTAGGCCCGGTATTTCCTGCCACCACATGAACGTGTGTTACCTCAGCCAACCGCAGCCCTCTGCGGTCGTTTTTCTGGATGGCAAAAGAAAAAAAAAAAATCAACGAACCAAACCTAAGCTGCATTTTGCCCTCAGCCAGAACTAGTAACGTTCACATTAATCATGAGTGCTTATACAGCCTACCAAAGAGAAGCATATCCCAGACTGACCCGCAGTTTTACTGAGCAGTACTCTGGTTTCAGGCCGCCAAAACACATCTTAAGCAGTTACCTTTTCTGCAGACCCCGGAAGGAGCCGATGGATGAGTTTGCAGAGCACGGTTCCATCCTTCAGAGAAGTTTTCAGGAACTCCTCCGGATCATCAACTATTTTCTTAGGGGAGTTCAGAACTCCTAACGAAATGAGCCACGTTACCACTTGCTCTTCTGGATTCATTGCTGTCCCTCTGCCCCCCGCACGGTTCCGTGCTGCAGCTCGCCCTAACCCACATCCGTGATGACACCTTCCTGCCTCTTTTGCTGATTGCACGGCTCAAATGTGAAACTTTTTTTTTTTTTTTGCTCAGCACCAAAGCTTAGAAATCAGAACTTAGTGTTATTGTAAGGTAAGAAACATCTTTTCTACAAAATGGATTCTAGTGTGCTGAGTGTGAAGGCAGATCTTCCACTACACTACTGCAAGTTACTGGAAGTACTTCGTGTGGATACTTTTCAGTCCACCACGAAGATCTTACCTACTGACTTTCTCCTTCAGACAGATGCCATGCTATCATCTGGTTTCATCTTAATCTGTGGCTACTGCCCGAAGTAGAAAATGTAAATCTGTCTGAGCTATTTAAATATTACAACTGAACTTCATGCTGAAGATGACTGGGGAAGAATGCCACATTTAAATAGTATTCTCAACTTTCTGTAACAAGCCTTGTTAGTAAAACTGCCTTTGTATTGTAGTCACAGGATCTCATCTTTGAAACAATCTACTTTGAGGGGTTGGGAGAACCAGAACAGCAAAAGGAGAAACTACATGCAATAATGTGTCTTTGCTTTCCAGGTCTTATGGTTGCTATTTCTGACCAACCTCCAGGATAGGAGGATGCTGTGTGAAAAAACTGGTAACAGAGCAGGAGCCAGTGTGAATGGTACAGCAGCCTGAAGCTAAATCAAAGACCTCACTGCCATCTGGTAACATGCATCTACAGCAATCCGTATGTGTGCAAAATGTTTCAAATTTATGACTAATTATAAGACTCTTCAAGGTTCCCCCCTTCCCCCCCCAGTTCTTTTGAGCACTGCTGTTTGTAGAAATGAGTACTGGCAGTTCCACGTTCATAGCTTAGCTTTTCTTTTCCCATATGCTCATTCTTCTACTGGGGTCAACATACATGCTTGTGAACAATGTATGTAAATAAAAGACACTTCAGTCATCTAGTTAGAATGGAACAGCTTCCAACCTGCAGAGAAGTATTTCAGTAGAGGGAAGATTACATACTTGCTTCACTAAGCAGTGTTACAGATCTGAACACAGAATACTTCACAGACTGCTTCCTCCAAAACAAACTTTTTTTTTCCCCCTGGTAGATGGGCAGTTCTAGAGATTTATGCCTATTTTGCACACAGCTATTGCAGCCAAGCACGTATATGGTTTCAACTACTACGACATGAAAATATTTCCCACATCTTGAACACTTACCAAGAGTTCAAAAGAGTCACCTCTTACATATTCAGAAAACCTCCAAATTTGTACTTCAGATAAGCCTCTTCAAATCCAACTTATGCACATTTCAGAAAAGCATCAGGACCCAACCAGAAATCTTCCAGTTTATTCACCCACCCTCACAGCAGAATTAATTGTGTGGCAGAACCCAGGATCTGAAGGTACAACCCACCAAGCAAGGAACAATTTCTTGTCTGCCCTTTGGAAGATTACTTAAAAGGAACAAATACAACCATCAAACACCTCTTGTAGAGTCAATCTCTACCCCCGAAAGAGCAATAAGCTTTCATTTGTAGCCTGATTTTCATCAGTAATGACTACGTTACAGTCTTAGTTCAAAAAATAAGTAAATGGGGAGGGGATACATATCCAGCTAACAAATGTCATATACAGTCAGTAACAGGAAGAAAGACCACTGTTCAGACATCCAGGAAATGTTCTAGAGCATCTGTACACAAGTCACTTTTATGCACTGATGGGTTTTTTTTCAGTAAATACCCAATGCAAATAGGGGACTGGATTCTTACTCCTGCATTATGTACTAATGCTTTAAACTGCTGACTTTCAGTGATGACGCCTGAGGCAGAATGCACAAAAATGTACCACTGATGTAAATTACGTGCCACTTTGGGTACACGTATCTTTTTTCATATAGCAGCTCATATACTAGCACTGCATTTCAGTTAAAATGCTAGGCTAAATGTTTCAGCCTGGAAGTACTCCGACTCCTTCTTGAATAAGCACAGTACACTCTGAGACCACACCTAACCATAAACCACCATTACATAATACTGGTCAGCAATCATTTCTACCAAGAAATAAGTATTTAAAACAATCAATCATTTTATTTAACAACTTATTTATTAACGCTGAAAACATTGCAGTTTTATCCATTTCCTTTTTAAAGGCAATTTACTCATAGTATCTGCAATTTTTAGCCGAAGTTTAAAGTGATACTCTTAACCCCCAAAAAACAGACATAGTTTTAATGCCCTTGAAAGGGTACACATGCTTTTTCTTCATTAGTTACTCACTGAAAAACCAAGAGCTGCTTAAGTTTTGTCTATTGTAGAAATAGTATAAATTTTATAAGACTTAACTAAGTACCTCTGCCAATCTGGTTAGTTTTCTGTAACAAATACTCATGCCTGAGCATTACTCTCGTGTGGACTGGCACATCAGCACACAGATAGGGTAAAAACGCATCAAAGGCAGTATTTTGAGGAAAACATCTTGTTTCTATGGAATTATGTACTTGTTAGGATGTACACTGCTGGCACCTGCTGGAGCTTTCTAAGAACCTAGTGCACATAAGAAAGAACACTGGTCATTCTGATAACTTACCACTTATACTGCCTCAATACATCAACACTTTATTCCTTTAACCCAGAAGGCTTGGACAATTAGGAACTTTTCAAGTAACAATACTGTAAAACTCCTGTGGATTTCTTGGTGAGGAAGTTTGGAGCTATTTAGTCCTCTACATTTTAGAGAACTTTAACTCACTTTCCTATAACTGGCTCTTCTTTCAGGAAAGAGGAAAAGCAGTGCATGTAAAGAGGAAACCTTAGTATTTTTCTGCTGCAGAATTTACTGATGCATGTTTACTGCATAAAACTCCTGGCTCTTGGAAGATGTAAGCTACAGGAGACAACTGATTTTCATCTAAGAAACACTTAGATATAAGAGATTAGATGGGTTACTTTCAAAGAAAATTCCTTAAACTGTAACATAACTCTTTGAAGCAAATACTGGGTGACACCACACTCAAAAGTCAATTTTGCCAGTTGCATTTTGTTGTTCTTCAATTTTCCAGTACATGTCCACTGCTGCACTACCTTCCTGTAGTCTGAAAGAAAGGAAATTCAACTTAGTATGCTCTCAAGAAGCAAGAAACAGACGAAGTCACATCATGAGCTGTTGCTACATACACAGTGAATGTGTTTTGGTTATTTCCAAATTGTCCCAAGTGTAAAAAATACATCAACAGCTGTATCTTCATTAATTCCAACATAGTCTAATAAGCACCCGTTAGTGACAAAGCAATCTAGTCACCTGATGAAGAAGGTCTTCATTTTTGAAGAGATAAATTTTCACTTGCCAGGAGTAATTATTTCCCACTTCCCAGAGAAGAGATACAGAGAATTAACAATAACATAGCATGTAAGTACAAAAAAAGGGGACAACATTTTGACACCATCTGCGTGATGATTTGGTTAGACCTTTTAAAGTCACCTAGGATGCTGCATATTAAAGATAGCAAGCCATCTTTTTGTTAGCAAGACTTGTGGTCTGGATGGACCAGTCTCAAACTTTAAAAACTGATCCCTACTAATTTTTTTTCAGGTAGAGGAAGAACTTACTTTCAAGACTTATTTCCTGACTCCACCTCAGTGCTATAACTGACATCAATGATTTTTCCATGAAAAAAGGCGCCCAATAGTTCAGTGTCACTTCCAGAAGGATTTGTGATTTGAATACTTGAACAGCCACATTCAAGAGCACCACAAACATGAGAAATTAACTCTTGTTTGCTGAAAATTTTTGAACAGTAACAACAAAATAGAAGGCTGGTGAGTTAGCAGCTTTTACTTAACTATGTACTTTATCCAACTCAAAGCAAAAACTACAGATGGTGATTCTGTATTTCACACAACCACAGAACCATCTAGGCTGGAGAAGAACTTCAAGATCATTGAGTCCAACCATCAACCTGATTTACTGGGTCCTGTCAATGTATCACGCCCCTTATTGATCTGAAATAAAATCCAGTACCCTGAGATTAAGGAGGAATTTGTCAGGAAGAAGTACTAAGTATTAATGGCATATTCTAACAAAAGTACCGTGCAGAGAAAAAACTACAAGCAAACTGAAATTATAATATTACACAGTACAGAGTAATCTTTATACAAGATAGACCTTACCGAAAATCAAACGTGATTAGTCAGATAAACCACAGTATCAACTGCAGCAATTTCTTTTCACCTTTTTAAAAGGTGGATCTCAAACGTACTTTAAAGTAGCAGCAAAATATTTTTTAATATGTATTAAGTACTTGGAAAATGAATTTAAAAGTTACAGTAAAAAAATTCTGGCAAATCTTCTCAAAAAAAACCACCCCAGTCTCTATCTTTTTTTTTTTAACTGGCAATGAATACAGTTAAGGGTAGTGTGGGGTTTTTTTTGGATGATGATTCTTCAGAGAAGAAGTTTTCCAGAACACTGTTAGCAGTTACCTTATTTGCTGTTAAGTATCAGAGAAACACAACAGCTGCTATCACACATGAGATCTGAACAGTATCTACTCGTTCTGCCACTTGCAGAAGATTAATTCTAACGTGGTAGACTTCCAAGTAATGAAACACAACTGACCTACGAAGTTTTAAGCTACTTTTGACATCAATGGAAAGTATGCAATTTAATCCAAGGACCCTTGCTCTTATTCCAATCCAGATGTTTGTTTTTTTTTTTTTTATGAAGACTCCTAGACTAACAATGGTGCATTCATACATAAATGCACTTTATGGTGCATCTGAAACCGTATGTTATGATTAGAGGTTCCCAAGTGGACCGTTTCTTTTAGGGGAAAGTCACTCACTGAAATTTCTAACTAGGCAATTAAAAACCCTGCTTAGATCTCCTCCTCCAAAATTTGCTTCCAGAGATGAAAGGATTACTTAGCCACCAAGGATGTCCACCCCAACACAGACCCATAAAAAATCTTCCATACAGCTACTACAAAAACACAGCAATTACCTGATCAGTACAGGCATCATTCATCTCTGCCACCAAACCAGATGAACCTGCTTTACTTCAGAAGCATCTTCCAGTAGTTATCATCCTGTAATCAAAATAAAGCAAGCTGAGAAAAATACATTTTACAGCACGAGTCAATCTCCCCATTTCCCAGTGCTTCCCCCCATTTCAACAGTCACAAGCTTGGTTTTGCAGATTAGTCTGTTTCAAGTTTTACTACTTCTCTTCTAAGTGGTGGAGGATTCACTGGTTTGGAATGGACTGGAATGACTTAGTGACTGGTTGCATGGCTTATGGATTCTCATTCCTTTTCAATGGTGCACTGCCATGTAAAATCCATAAGTTGAACGACAATACATACTGAGGACTAAACAGAAGTAAAAAGCTTTGGTTTTGCTTTTAGTTGGAGGTCTTCACGTATACTATGTTCAAGAGCATCATTTGAACTTCGTGGCTTTACCTGAGTCATAACTTGT